AAGCAAACCGGGTCACAACTCTATTTCTGGAATCCAACTCATCAAAATGCGAGAGCACCTTTTCAAGCAGACTCAAGGAGTGTGGACTCCTGGATCACCCCACCAGGCCGTTTGACCGATTGGAACAGAATTGGAGCCCCCGAAGCTTCACTCTCCGGTCCGGAGGGCTTGCAGTGCCTCTTCCTATGAATCATCTTCCTTTTGTGCACAAAGGTGCAAGATGCATAGCTAAGATGCCCCGCGACCATGGGAGAAAAAAAGGAGAATCGGCATCCATTTTTTGGTTGGTTCAGTTGAAAGGGGAACCCTTCCCAAGCAAAAAGGAAAACAAGGCGTCACTGGGCAAGATGTATCGGAAAGGAACCGTCCCAACAACGGGTATGCCCCTTCCATACATTGCCCAAAAGGGGATAGCATGTGCGGCGTGGCCAGGAGCATAAAGCCCTGGTATGAATGGGGGTGGTGTTCTATTTTGGGGATCCGCCTCAGTAGTTTGGGGGAGCCCCTGAACCCACCAGGTTCTACTTCAATCCGGGGTCAACATTCAGCCCAGTTGTCTCTCGACAAGTGAACTCCCAGTTTGGGTGGCTTCTCTCTGAGACGCATCTACCGCCCGATAATTTGCCCCAAGCAAGTTTAGTCCAGCGTTCCCTTCATTCCCCGTTTAAATATCAGCCCACCAAAAGGAAACTCATTATGAGTTGGCAACCTGAAGCCTCATTTCCTCTGTGGAGTGGCCAACAGTCAGAACTAGTTTTTTATTCGCCACTAAAATGGTTGCAAACAAGAAGGCCAGGAACTCAGGGACTAGTGATGATCAAAAACGGACCAAATCTGGGGAACCCAAAGTTTATCAAAGGAAACCATCCCAAGGGAACCAGTTAGATACCACAATTTGAATCTGGGAAACCAGTTGATTCGCTTATTTTGCGCAACTGAGTCATGTTGACAACCACTCCGGGGGAAATCGAGTTGGACGTCTGTTTGCTCCGTGACTTCAAGCACGGCCCCATCCGTCCGCCGATCCGAGACTTTTTTGACGGCCGGAACTTGGCCCATGTAATTAACTCAACGGATGTGCTGTGGTCATCTCGCGGGTTTGGATCCATGGGTCTAGAAACAATGGTTCATCTGGTTGCTAACCCTCCATTTGTCTTTTTCGCAAGAACATCCAACCCGGTAGCCTTGAGCTTAGCAAGCCGAGTCGACTGCGTCACTTTAACCACGTCACAACTGCTGCCTTCCGTTTGTGACCCCGAAGACATGAGGCACGGGCGCTATTTTGGGGCAGAACGTCGCAAGCGGCGCTTTGGCACGCGCCTCATTCTGTCCACAAACGGAAGGATCTAACAGGTTTTTGCATTTTCTGGGATTACTTTTAAGTCTTGGTTGCCATTTGTTCTGAAATCCCAGAGTTTTCATCCAAAAACCTCTTAAGAAAAGCATAACGGATCAGGTGCAATGCGCCTTGAATTGGAGCCTTGCACTTGACGCCCATTTTTTTCGGGTCTAAAAACTGCCCAAGGGACCCTCCGGGTGGGGTGGGTCCATTGAGGGGCCCTTGGGCGCTTGCGTGAGTAGCGGATGGCGAGTACGATATGTACAAATGTCTCACGCTCAGTCCTTGATGCGCGCAGACCCACGGTTCAGCTTTTCCCCGACCCACTCACTTCGTGGATTGGTCCCAACACGTCCCAACAAGTTCATTCACGACCAACATGTTGTTTGCTGGCAAGGCTTGGAACCCGTTCTAAGGTCCACAAAGTATAGGGCCATTGCTCCAAACTCGCAACGGTTTTCTTGTGGTGTCCTTTTCAACCGACACATTCTTGGAAAGACCTACAAGGCTCACTTCCTGAGTGGATTGGCCAAAAACAGGCGAAACAACTCGAAATTTGCCACATGGTCAAGCCAAAGAAGCATAAAATCCGGGAACTCGGGGAGTGAGAACAAGACCAACTCAAAACATGCCTCAAACTCCCAAAACTTCGCCCCGAACTCAGAGCTAATCAGCTGAGCTGGGCTGCAAACCACCCTCAGACCCTACGGCGACCCAACACATGAAGTGAACAAAACAAAACACGTTCCCGCGAACACGTTGTAGTGGACAAAAAGCACGGTGTTCCGAAACAAATTTGAGGCTTTGCAGTTTGTTTGTAAGGTTAAACCAGGTTGATCCCAAACAAAAAGGCTTTGTGGTTGATTTGGGGGGAATTCCGAGTTGGGGCCATGTGGGGTTGCCCATAAGCTCAAACCAGACGGAGAACCGACCGAAGGACTGTCAGAAGCACCCCTGAGAATAGCAGAACATGGTTTCCTTTTAAGCCTCTGGCCCTGGCGGAATTTTCTTCTTGCAGGATTGCTCCAAAGGCTGTCAAACAGAGAACAGCTTTGGCCTAGACCGAGTTTCTACCCCTTTTGGGCATTTCTCAAAATAGGAACGGGTGCCTTTTGGATAAGGCTCCACAACGAAACCAGCCTGAGGTGCCGAATCTGGAGAACTTGGGCTGTGGCCATCCTCTTCGCAAAACGATTTGTGGATAGGTGGCCACGACGTAGGGATCTGAAGCACGTCGAAAGGGGTCCGGAATCTTGTCTGGTCATTGTTTAAAGGGTAGGTTTGGAGCAAATGTCTCCTACAAGCTTGATCGAACGAACAAGCTTCGGTCAAAATCAAACAGCCAAGTTAAGCAAAGGGTCTGGAAACTGTAAACATGGGTGGCTTTTAGCGACACCCGTGAATGGCCTAAGCGCATACCGAAAGGAGACCGCATCAGTTCATTTACGACAACCCGTATGTGTATACATATACGTATTGGTATATATATATATATATGTCCCTCTATCTGTCTCGTCCGTCTTTCTCTCTCTCTCTCTTTCGATTCATATATCGGCACATATATACATATATATATATATATATGTATAACAAATATATAATACATATAATGTATAAATATATATATATATGTCCCAAAAGCGAGTCAGGGTGTAGTACGTCTTCGGACCCCTGTACCCATCCGCCTGACCCACTTGTTTTTTCTTTTTCCGCCCTGAGACTGAGGTTCTGGCCCGATCTCGAGACCTCGGCAAGTGAATTCACCCCATATTCTTGGGGCAATAACCAATTTCTAAGGGAATTTGGAGGGTCCATGTATTGGATATACTTGGGTGTTCAACCAACGTCAGGTAAGTAGGTTGCAACAATGATTGTAACTTGGGTAACTGGGGTTAGTCCTCTTACGTCCATGGTTATAACCTACCAAGTTGGTTGAACACCCAAGCAAACCTCCCGAAGATCGCTTCCTTTTGGTGGATTGGCCCCAACACGCAACCATATTCACTAAAATGCTCTAACCCCAAAAGTGACAACAGTCCAGGACCTGAAAAAGGGGCGGGTTAACATGGAACCCAACAAACCATCATGCGTTTGTAGGAATCTCCTTTCCATGTTAACTTGCAGGGGAGAAAGAGGCATATGGGCCAAATCTAGGGTTACCCTTAGGTGGTTGGTTTCCTTTTCATTTCCCCTTACAACTATCCAACACGGGACCCTCATTTGAGACACACCACTAGCCATGTGAAGAGTGTATGTCAAGGAGGGTGCATGTCAGAGGCAAATGGGTGGTGTAATTACATACCATACAGGGGCACATGAAGGTGGGTGCTCAAGGTAGTTCGCTAGGCTTTATAACTATCAACGCAAAAGCAAACTACAAATCCCTGTGACAAGATCCAGCACCTGGTAAGTGGTGTTTCCCAATATTCGCAGGGGTTCTATGATCTTAGCAGGATTTTGTCTAGTCCAAATGATGGGTCCTTTTCTCCAATTTTCCAGCCAAGGCCTTTTGATCCCCAAGGCTTCGGAACCCTAAGACCTGAAACGCTCCGTTGCAGATTTGGGTCTGGACCCTCAAACTACCCAAAGGAAAGTTGGAATTCACCAATTCCATCATTTGGGGTTGCTATGACCAAGTTTTTGCAAGAATTTGTTGAGGGTCCAGGTTCGTTGAAGGTTGCAAAATGGCGCAACGGTTTTCAATCTTGGACACAAGCTTGGATGGGCAAAGGCAAACCAAAAGGATGCCATCCACTGGTGAAATGTTTCAAGTTGAACCAAGGGCCAACAAATCGCCTCATAGCTTTTCTGAAATATATCTTCTGTGACACCGACATTGGCAACCCCCATGACGACTTTATCAAGTTGAGGGGGATCCCTCATGGGTATCGCGGAAAGCGGCAGCCTAAAACCCGATTTCCCACCGTAAATCGCGCACTGGAAATTCCGAAAAGTCTCATCGCATGCCGAGGTGCAACATAAAGCGAAAAGCCCAGCCATAGGCGACCGAGGGAAGCAAAGTCCTGGCTGTATACAATTCGATACAGGCCGTGGGTTGAGCAGCCGAACCCAGGGGCAACATTGATTACTTGCGTTTGGAGGGTACATACAATGTACATACACGTTTCACTCGGTTTAAAGGAAAAACAAAAGGGCACCGCAATGTGTTGGGGCCCCCTATTTTGATTTCCTGCCAATTCTGTGGGGACCCTACCCGTCCCGCCCTAAGCCTTGGTCTTTGGGGAGATTGTTGGGGGTCATCCCTTACAACTGCTGATTCTACTGGCGGTTGGTACACAGAAAAATATGTTCATTGATTTTGGGTGTTCTGGCTTCTGTTTCAGATTGGGTGTTTTACACAGATCGGAGACTTGGTGAGTAACACCGGGTAGGTGCCAATAATAGAGAGGCCCCTAAAAGGGGGTGGGTTTCCAATTGGCTCTCCTGCAAACCATACTGTGGATGGACGAAATCTTGCACCACCTAACAAACCCTGGAATGATTTGATTCCCCTGTAAATACCAACAACCGTTCTCGTTTCCCATGGCTTCAAAGTGGTGCGAAACGGATTTTGTCCATCCACAGTAGGAAACTCCCGCAGCACCATCCACCCGACACCATCCGCTCGGTTTCGGATTTCGGTGTCCGTCCTCTGACGCACCTGGGTATCCAGGAGCCAAAGGGCCAAGCTCCACTGCGAGAGCTCATCCTCGGCGAATTTTGGAGCCCCTCAAAGCATAATTCATATACCTGAACCCTCAAACGACCTATAAAAAAGAGATCTTACCCCATAATTTTGGCGCAGTAACCCATTTTTAAAGGGAATGTTGAGGGTCTTTTACCTAAACCCTTACACATCCCTTGAACATGGGTTCTTGTCTAGTGACTATTGAGGACCATAAAGAACCATGGCCACAATCCAGAAAGGTGGCCTTCCTTGATCTGTATTGGAGTCGGACCGTCACTATTCAACTGATATGAAATTGAGGTAGGAACCTCCCCCGAATTGGTGAATGCTCAATTGGGGAGCTTGACCCTCTTACTACGAAAATTATGGCACATCTGGACCGCATTTTGATGCTCCACGAAAAAAATGTGTTTTATTTGTTGATTCCCGAAAAAAGGATCCCCAATCAAAAGGTGCTCCCAAAAAACAACGCGCCCAGATAAGCACTTCTTGTTTATATGGCGTTCACAGAAACCAAGGGGCGTCCGCGGTCCACGCCATTGCTCGCATTGCTCGCCACGACGCCAATCCCGGAAGCTGGGACCCGAGGGACCTTTTCTCAACCCCGGACTCATGTTCTGCGCAAGGACCAAACCAAGACTTGCTGCGATAGGTACGTAGGGAATGTCGTGGAATGAACCAAGGGATTCCCTCATATAAAGGAACCACGTTTGGACGTTTGGGCACTTGTTTTTATCTTGCTAACACGCCAAACCACCAATCCAAACCAAGAGCTATAAATACAGTGGATGAACAAAATGCTGCACCAGTATCCATCCCAACTGGTGCAGGACTTTTCCATGGGTGTCGACAACAAAGCTGCGGCGTACTCGAACTGGTTCTTAACTGGGAAACCACTGGGATGTCCAACCAACATAATAAGAAGTTCTAAGCTATATGGTTCCAACCTGGCTAACCAGGGGTTGATCCCCTGAAAACCGCGGTGGCCTACTTGACGTTGGTTGAACACGCGAATTGTTTCCCAGGCGCCAGCTTGGTGCAGACCGCATTGGTCACCGACACGTCGACGGGAACCTCGTGCCTGAAGGGAGCGGAGATGTCGGTCCGAAAACCCGACAAAAAAAGCAGGTGGCTTGGCCACAAAACAAACACACGTGCTTATGTAGCACTAGAATGGTCCAAGCCCAAAGTAACTAAAGCCGAGTCAGAAACCCTCAAACAAACACAAGTTTCGGGAATGAAACAACTTGAGCCCCTACAGAAACCACCAGTTGGATGGGTCTGGGGTCATTCTACCTCATTCCCTGACAGCCAGCAAGTCCGGGGACCTAGTTGATGGACCCTTGGACAAGAAAAGCAAGAACCAAGGCCAAATAAGGCCAGGCCAAGGAAGGTCACGGCCAAAGGCCAATGGCCAACGGCTCGGGGTCTGTGGGATGGCTTATAAACTGGACTGGTCACCAGTAACAACTTGAACTGAACTGGTCACCTGTAACACTCATGGAAAAGAAAACGCTCAGCGCCTCAAAAATCCAACTGAAACAAAAAAGGTTCTTGCAGCCCAAAAGTGTGATTGAGTTCCCTTGTTTTGGGTAGTTTGAGGGGTCGCTTGCGGATCCTCTTTTTTTTTCCGCGCCTCTCCAGCAGCCACGCGAGCGCCTGCTGCCAGTGCCCGCCCATGACGCAGGCGCGGAGCCGAAGGTTCTCTGCGCGAGCGTTCGCCGGGAGCACGGACAGGGCCAGCGACCAGTCCGTCGCGAGCACCTGAAAGCGTGGCGTGGCCTGGAGCCCTTTAAACAGATTGCCCATTTCGGGACACAAAAATAAGAGCTGATCATCTTGGGCCAAATCTGGGAAGTGAGTTTGGGGAGGAACAAACTAAGAAAACTGGTCACCAGGTCGGTACCCGGCAAACGGGGGGTCCTCCAAGTTGGACTCACTTTGGCTTGCCGCCTCGTGCCTCTGTTTGAGGCTATATTATTTTTTAGGGCGCTTGCGGTGCCAAGCACAAACCACAGGCTTTCTTTGGCCGCACTCGCTTCCTGAAAAGGAAGAAACCTCACGCCTCTTTTTGCGTGGCGATCCTCCTGGTTCTCTAGATGGAATCACCGAGTATCATAGTCTCTCAACAGGCAGTTTGTATCTATCAGGAACAAAGGGGATCTAAGAGGAACAACCTGCTTCGGTTGCAACCCCCATTTTCGGCTTAGAAACCATAGGTGTCCTTTTGGGAAACAGATGGCCCTAATAGATTGTGAAACAACCAGGTCGACCAGGAATGGCCGGCCGTCTGTTCTCTACCAAAACAACCAAAAAGAAAGGCACCACTGTGGATGCACAAAATCTACAAAATCACTGGAATGATGATTCCCCTCTACAAAAACCAACAGTGGCTTCAACCCTCGTTTCTTCGGTGCGATTTCTGGATTTCGTCCAGTATGTTAGACAGGCCTTCGGGGCCCAGCCATTGGAAAGGCCCGCCATGGGGAACCTGTTTGTCTGTCTGTGTTGAGGCTCGGTACCCGTTGTGGGGCCCACAAAAGAAGGAAACCAACAGGAGAACCAAGAGGGTCTCTATTTTAAGACACAACAGGATGATTAGTATTATCATTATTACTATTATGATGCGTATTGTTTTATTATTGATGCGTCCTGTTGGACCCCATATGCGCATCTGCATTAATCCGAGGGTGACCTTTCTGGGTCAACTAAAGTAGGGGGTTCATACCCTTTGACCGCCAATTTGGAGAATGGCTGGTTACCTGCTGCACGCCTGCGATCCACGTATATATATATATATATGTATGAAATAATCCTTATGATTAGATATATTGATATCCGTATTGTATTATGATTATCATAATCATGGTTACTGGTGTTGATATTATTGTCATATGTCCTCTATCCATGATCATGATTGTTGGTGTTTCTGTTATCCTTAGTGTTATTGCTAGTTGTACTGTGATTAGTGTGTTGTCGCTTCGTCTTGTTCTTTGTTCTTTATGTTTTTGTGCTTGTTCCTGAAAACCAAAAGAAACATTATGCTTACAGTTGTTGTTATTATCATGATGCTACTATGTGTCAGCTCATAATTAATCATTATGTACCAGCATCATGATTGACATGATTATGCTTCACTATTTACTATCCAGTGTTGATGTTCTATCATGGACTAGTTGTTTATCACTCTGCATTATTGTTCACAGGCAAAATAAGGAACCAAAGTTATTACTGCCTCGCACCTGACTTCATCCAGGCACTGTACTTTCAGATGTCCAAAACACTCCAAAACACAAATAACGCAAATTTGGAGAAGCCTCAGTTTGGACGTTTCTCAGATTGGTGATCACCCAAGGGGACACCTCAGTTGTTTTCAATGCCACCTTCTCAAAACGATCATCCCGGGTTAAACCACAAACCGATCTAAGGCAAAACCGGATCACGTACTACTTGTTCATCATTCTGCAGTAAACCCAACAAACACAAAAACAACTACGGGAATTTAGGGAACTAACAAAGAACCGATCCAAGCCAAAACCGGTTTATGGCTAAGGGTAGCTCCGGTACCGATTCGCGCACCGATTCGCCGGTCTTCGGAGCCTGGGAGGCCACGAAGATGGCCGCCTCATCATCCAGCTCCTAAGCTCGCTTGTGTTAAGTTGGGAAGGTCAGCTCCCAGAAGGCAAAATGGAACCCTGGTACTTCAGTTAGAACTCTGACATATGACCCTTAGCCATATTTAAACCACTTGGAGAAACGGAGAAACAATGGGAACCCATGAACGTCCTCTTGGTTTCCCTTTTAGAAAGAGACATATTTACCAACTCCAAGTCGAGCCATATTCGGAAACAAAGGGACAGTTGGGGGTGTCTGCTTTAAGGTTTCATCCCCAACATGCCCTCAGCACCCCGGAAATCCTCCTCCGCGTTCGCTGCCTTCGCGCTCGCCAGCGCCAGGCGCCAGTGAGCGCGGAGCTGCACGGCGAGGGACACCTTGTCCGGCTGCAGGGTGCGGTCCTCGAGGTGAAACGAAAAACGAAACGAAGCTCTAGGGGTACCTTCCATTTCCGTTCTGAATCCAGGGATCTTTTTTCTTTTCAGGAAACCATCACAAAAACCCAGGGCTTTTGTGATGGTTCTTGAAAAGAACGATGGTTGAAAGAATGGAAATGGAATCAACCCGTAGAGAAGCGCTGTGTCCAAGGTCAGAGGGAAGTCCTCCCGACCATGGAAGCTCCCGAACGGATCCCCTGCTAAAAGTGACTCACTTTTAGTGGGAGACATACGGAAACCACTAAACCCGAAACGCCTAAGGGGACAGCTGTGGGCCACCAAGTAACATGGAAGCTCCTGGACAGAATTTCTTGGTTCCGTCTACAGAATTTCAGAAGGCCTCTGTAGGGAGTGTGGCTAGGTTTGGCAACCATTCACTGTCAACCTGGGCTGAATGAATCAGACCTGCGGATGGTTGCGTAAATTCCAGAAATCGCACCATGGAAATCAGACACCCGAAATGATTGGATTCCCCAACGCACATATAGATCATCTCCCAGGCTTTCAAAGTGTTGCAGGAACTCACTTCCGGAGTGGATTGGTCAGGAACAGTCACCACACTTTTTGTCCAAGCCACTCAAATGGTCTACCCAAAAAGTTTAAAGTCCAGGAACTCAGGAAGCGAGAACATTGGAATGGGAGTTTGAAGTACACACAAAGAACGTTCCGCTGCTAGTAGTTATTCGTAAGTGTGTCTGTTCTTAGGGCACCCCCCGAAATGGACGTTGGTTCTCCCTCCATTAAACCACCCCAAAATCCATGGGCTTCCTCAAACAAGGATCCAAAATTACAAGGACTTGTCAGCCCCTTGTATTCCCATCTCGGCGATTCCATGGAAGCTGGGGCCGTAGTACAAGAATAGTCTCCAGTCTGGGACCCCTGGAAAACAATAGAAATATGTCCAGTACTTGATAGATTCCCTTTCAAACCAGGGGAAAATAAAACATGTTAAGCAAACGGAATCCTGAGACATGGAAGCTGCAGTCGGACTTGAAGCTTCCATGTTTGCTGAAATGAACACCTCGAGTTTCAATCGAGGTATTCATTTCAGCAAACATGGAAGCTTCAAGTCCGACACTAAAAAGAAACGCTCTGGGAGTGGGAGCTTGACGACGGTCCCAGGCGTCCCAGGCGTCCCAGGCGTCCCAGGCGCCCGCAGCTGCGTCACCAGCTGCGCCGCGTAGTGCCAGACCTCCGCCGTCAAGCACCGCTCCGCCAGCCCCGAGACGCTGGCGACGGAAGCTTTCTGAAAGCGAAGCCGGGCGAGGGCCTGGACGGGACGGGACTCGGGTTCTTGAGCCCATGGGTGTCCAGGTCCTCCAGCTTTGGATAAGACTACCAACTTTTTTCTGTAGTCTTGTTGAGTAGGGGAACCCTCCCCCAAAAAAGAAACGGTAAAAGGGCACTGCTGGGGGACCTAGGTTGGGGAGCCCGGTGGTTTGGACGTTCGGGACTACCCTCCCCATTTGCTTTCTTGCTTTCAAAAGGAACTGGGGTTCAAGTAAGGGGATAGCTGAACAATGGGGTTCTTCCATTTGCTTAACTAGGCCCGCCTGAAAAAAAGTCGATATATTCCCAGTAGTGGTAGATTTCCTGTAAAACCAAGAATCGAGAATAAGACATCTTCTTAAGCAAACGGAAGCTTTGTCTCACAACATTTAAGAGCCAGGGTACCGCAGGTGTTAGTCTATTCGTCCATTCGCCAACCGACTTTTGATGAGGGGGGGACCCTTTTGATGGGTTCATCAGTTGCAACAACCCCTATTAATAGGATGGGCTTCGCGTAGATGTGGGGTCACTTTGAAACCTGCCTGGGTTCGGGTTTAGTTTGGCTGGTCCAATCTAATGGCCCTGCTTGCAAAAGCCTGTGCATCCGCACAGCTGAGCAACCAAACACTAGCTACCTGCAATTGGAACTGCCTTTTGACTTGGGTTACCCGGCACTGGACTTGTGCGACGCGGGTCCCGTTTGGCTTTTCAGGAAGCCAAACGCCCAGTCTGGCACTCTTGAACACCTTGCCCACACCCACTTCTTACTTCCGATCAAGCGGATGGGCCAAAACAAGTTTCCAAACTGTTTGTCTAAGCCACTAAAATGGTCCAACCCCAAAATGTAACTTCCTGAGTGGATCGGACAAAAACAGTAAGCCACTAAAATGGTCCAACCCCCCAAAAAGGTATAAATTCCATGAACTCAAGAAGTGAGATTGATGACCTTGTCTTTGAAGAGCAAGGCGGGAAGGCAGGCCAAACGGTTCCAACTATTATCCAATCAAAGGCCCCTTCAACTCAAAATGGGACTCCAAATTCCTATTTTGACACATACCGGTAACCCGGACTCAGCTTGGCATTTGGAGTTCCTCATTTAAACAGGAGTTGCTTTCTTAAAGGACGTCCTGTTGGTTTCCCTTTCAAACAACCTGAACAGGGTACCCTTCCTTCCACTGACATAGCACCAGTGGGAGGGGCTGGAAGATCATGTTCCTCTAGGGAGAGCCGATCAGGTGCCGGACGTCCTTCTTTAACAGGGATCCTTACATGATACACCTGAACATTGCCTTGTAAATGGTGGTGTCCCTTTATTTTTGTGGAAAAAGCCATGTTTCAAATGGTTGCAACAAGAATCTTTTAAGGAGCCCAGTTTAAGTTAGGCAGAGAGACTCCTTGGGTATAGCGCTCCATGCGCTCGCCTCGCCTCCTCCCAGTCGGCGCGCAGCAGGCCGAAGCCCAGCTCAAGGTCACCTGCCGGGCAAGCAGCGTGAGCCCGATGAACTGCTCGTAGGTTGGGTAGTTGGTTGGTGTTGGGTGGGTGGATTGGTGGGTGGGTTGGCTGGTTGGTGAGTGGGTGGGTTGGTTGGTGGGGTTGGTGGGTGGGTTGGTTGGTTGGGTGGGTTGGTTGGTGCGTTGGCTGGCTGGCTGGCTGGCTGGCTGGCTGGCTGGCTGGCTGGCTGGCTGGCTGGCTGGCTGGCTGGCTGGCTGGCTGGCTGGCTGTTGGTTGGTTGTTTGGTTGGTTGGTTGTTTCGCTGGATGGCCGGCTGGCTGGTTTTGCGGGGCCCCGCCCTCCAAAGTGGATTTCAGATTTCTCTGGGTAAAGAGGATGTCTTGAGTCCAAAGCAACGAGATATACTCCTCAGAATGGCGCCCCATCCTCGGCTCCCACAAGTGATCCCCACTCCAACAAGTTTTTCCCTCGCGGCGCCGGCCTCGAATCCCATCGGCACAAGGGTAGACACTTGGTCGATACCGCAAACCTATCATGTCCTTAAAGCACTCCTGCGGAATATATCCCCAGCTCCCCAATGGCTCCTCTTCCGGCCAACGGGCTAGATTCACAGGGTTAATCCGGACCAATGTTGAACTCGGGTGCTGTGGCTGGGCTACGGACAAGTGACAGCACCATGCCAATTGAACAAGACCACTGGCTCTAAGTACTGGAAATACTTGACAACAAGGATGGCAACCGCAAATTTTGAGCGTATCCCAAGGGTTCAAGGATGACAAGCCTTATGTACGGTGCAGGCACAGGAAAAGTGCACTGAGAAGCAATGGACATATGGCAACACTTCCTTGGAGGTGTGGAAATGTCCGAGCAGCAAGCCGTTGTGACACAGGAGGTGGAGTTGATCATTGGCAACTCGGCGACGGCACCCCATGGCGAGTCATCCCCTTGACTTACTCACAAGGATATTGCCTCTACCTGCACCCTGGCCGTCGGCACTCAGGCCCAGCCAAGCGACCTCCCGCGCTTTCTTCTTCCGTTTGAAGCGCCATTTACATCGAGGGGTCCGAATATGGACATTGAGACATATGCATGTGTGACTTTTTGGGGACTCGCTGTTGGTGGGTGTTCAAGGGAAAGCAAAAGGACACTGTTGACATGTTGGTTTCGGACCTCCAATTTTGAGACAGTGACAAACCCATCTTTACCCCCCCCCCCCCGAACTCCTGTCTTAATAGGGTGCCCAAAGAAGGTGCTTGTTTTGCGGAATCCTTTTTGCCTGCGTCTGTTTTTGAGGGTACCCTTTTTTGGCTGTTGTAAATGGCGACCAACACTAAAACAACCACCACTTTTGAGGGCTTGCCCCATTTAGAAACACCCACACCTGAGATACACAAGTCTCCAAGTCCCAGCCCCCACGCAATGTGGGGTTCCTCTTTTGGATGTTTTTACAGACCGAAAAGGAAACATCGCGTGTTGAGAGCCCCCTACCACCCCCAACCCCCCAAAACTCCCCCACCCCCACAGCCCCCGGGTCCCGCAGCCCCCAGCCGTCGCCTTCGCTTTGCTCTCTCTGGTGCTGCAGCAGTTGCTGCGCCTTTTGCCAACTGCTGCCCCACGAGCTCAGCGCGGCCGCCACCGTGAGTTCGTTGCACCTCAAACCGAGGCACCCGGCGACACACCTGAGGACCAGAAACCCCATTGTTACAAGGCATTGTTTACTCCCTGACCCTGAAGGATCTTTGGGGGTTGTAAGGTGAGTAGGTTCAGCAGGTTCCAACCCCACTCACGTGGACCTGTTAATGGACCTCCTGCAACCTCCTGCAAACGAACACTCTAACTTGTTGCTGGCTGAAAGCAGCAATGCAGTATATAACCCAAAAGGGTGAGAAGGAAAAGGCTACTAAGTCTGGCAATGCAGGAATGCTACTTGCTATATGGACCCGCTTTGGGCTCCAACCCCCCCGCTTTCTTCCATTCTCTGAGTGGCCCGCGAGAAAATATGTCCAGTAGTGATAGATTCCCCTTAACACCAACATGAGAAAAAACATGAAAAAGATCGTAACTTTCAGCCCAACGAACCTTTTTCTGGACCCCCCCGTGGCTGGCCCCTCTTGGACGGTCCTCCCTGCGATGTGTGGATGAGGGAAACCGAATGGTGGCAAGGCCTTGCTGGTCAAACTCCAAAGCTGTCCCGAGGTGTTTTTTGAGGAGGGTGATGCAATGGGACAACGCCCAGAACGCCTGCAAATTTGCTGTGACCCCCCCTCTCCCTCTCCCTCCTTCAGGCGCGCCCCCCTATTTTGCAACCATGAACCCTACAAAACCAAAATGTCCTAAAAGAAGGAGGTTGCAAAATAAAACCCAAGTGTCCACCATACCCCGCCCCCCTCCCCCCCCCGCGTCTTCCCATGAGAGGCGCTCCACGCGGAGCCGCCGCGCGGCGGCCAGCAGCTCCAGCGAGGAGCGCCAAGGCCTCCCCCGCAGCGCGGAGCTGACGGAGGCGGAGCTGGGCTCCAGACTCAGCTGCCGGGCGCCTGGCGCTTGGTGGCTTCGGGGGGGGGGGGAGGAGGTGAATGAGTGAAGGAATGAAGGGGGGGGCGGGGGATCGGGGGTTCTGATATGTTTTAGGTCTGTTTGTCTCAAACGTCACCTGGAGATTCAAACGTCAAGGAACTCCTAGTAATTCACGGCATTGAAGGCAAACGCCCACAACAACAAAAAAACAACGCAAAACGCCGAAAACGCCTGGGGAACCAGAACGCATCAGGAATCTCCCGAAAACGCTCAAAATGCCCAGCTGGCCCCTGCTTGGCGGCTTGGATGGTTTGGAGGACAGGGGTGGTGCCCCGCTTGCCCTCACCAAGAACCAGGGCGGCTGGCTTTGAGGGTATCCTGTTGGTTGTTGTTCAAGGAAAACCAAGAGACTTGGATATTCAACCACCTTAGTAAAGCAGGTTGCAACCATGGTTCAAAGGGGACTAACCCCAGAACCCCAGTTATTAACCGTGGTTGTGATCTACTTACCTGGCGGTAAGTCTCCTAAGGAAATCCAAATCCGCCATTTCCAAGGTTCGCTCTTGGGATGAATTGTGGTTTGTGAGAGGGGCTGCAATTTGTGCTTGCTCATCTCTGATTTCCTTTCAACCAAGGATGACCATGTTGGGTATCGCCCTTGGCAGAAACCGGAATCGTTTTGGAAGCCACCAAGCTAAATGAAAGCATCAGGCCGGGGATAGAGTACCCAGTGGCAGTGACCCAACCGTTCCAATCATAACGTCTCCGGACCCACTTTGCGACTTCATGAAAATTGAGAGAAAGATCCTTCAAGGAAATCTCCCGCAACGCCCTCGAATTGGTGCCGGAATGGTGCGGAAGACCTGCGACAATGTCTGACTGTTGCTTCTATCACGGTAGAGGTTTGGAGTCGAGCAAACGCCACAAAACCAGGGAGCCGAACCAAGCAAAACACTATTGTGGCTAACCGAATCTGACATTTTGGTTCTCCAAATTTAGTCCATATTTAGTTCCCAGGTTCACAGATGGTTTCCTCGATTGTCTACCATATGAGTGAACGGAACCGCGTGCTTGGGTTCTTTGGCGTCAGGTAACAGGTTTCCCATTTATTCGGGACCTTGACTAAATATGGACTGAATTTGGAAAGCCGAAATGTCGAGGGGCAACTGTGATTTGGGTATATAAGCTCTATTGTGGATGGACGAACTCCTGCACCCGTAAGAAGTTTTGGGGATTGTGTGTTCCGTGTAAATACCAAGCAACATGAACCATGGTTGCTTAGATGGTGCGAAATGGGTTTTGTCCATCCACGGTGCGTAACCCTTCATTTGAAAGCCAACCTTTGCTTTAAAACCAACGCTTCTTACAAGTTGTTGAGTACCACATATGGTTCCCTCGCAGCTTGGATATCCATGGAACACCGAAGATGCGACCCATTTTGGGGACCTCAGGCAACCATCCCGTGAGCTGCCTTCAAGCAGGCTGCAGGCAGCCTCCCAGAGCCCGCTCTGTGCGCACGCGCCCAGGGCCTCCCGTGAGAGTTTCCCGAGCTCCTTTTGGCGTTAGACTGAGATGAGCTCCGGATTCTAAGTCTCTTGGCTTCTTTGGCCCCCCCAACATTGCCCCGGAATTTGAGGTTTTGCAGCCAGCTTGAGGGTCCAGGTGATTTTTTGAGACCGGGCTGATGAAGAGCCCTGGCAAACAGGTCTCTAAGTTTGCAAACCCTGGTGGTTTCCTCGCGGTTTCTCTTCAACCCATCTTCTGAACAGCTTCCCTGCAGTCCACTGCTCCAAAGCCCTGCAAGAGTAGCAAGTTGGTTGCAAAAGGAAAGCAAAAGGACCAAACGCCGCTTCTAGCTGAGCCTGCCAAGCACATCTCTTTGTGTCTGGTCCATTTGGGTGTGGCTCAACATTAAGCGGCTGGGGATTCGCGGGTTTTAGTCTACCTGTCCATTTACCAGGATTCCATTTTGGACCCCCATTTTTGAGCCACACCCTTTTTTTGGGACGGGTGGTGTTCGTTCTATTCCATGGACAAGGAGCACAGCACCTACCAATGTCTTATGGGAGTTGGTCGTTCGAGGCTAGCCCTGCTCCGGGTGTTTAATTCTTGTGGGCGGTTTCCTTTTGCTTCGCCTTGTGAAATAATATTGACTCGAACACACACACACACACACACACACACACACACACACACACACACACACACACACACACACACACACACACACACACACACACACACACACACGCACGCACGCACGCACGCACGCACGCACGCACGCACGCACGCACGCACGCACGCACGCACGCACGCACGCACGCACGCACGCACGCACGCACGCACGCACGCACGCACGCACGCACGCACGCACGCACGCACGCACGCACGCACGCGCACGCACGCACGCACGCACGCACGCACGCACGCACGCACGCACGCACGCACGCACGCACGCACGCACGCACGCACGCACGCACGCACGCACGCACGCACGCACGCACGCACGCACGCACGCACGCACGCACGCACGCACGCACGCACGCACGCACGCACGCACGCACGCACGCACGCACGCACGCACGCACGCACGCACGCACGCACGCACGCACGCACGCACGCACGCACGCACGCACGCACGCACGCGCGCACGCACGCACGCACGCACGCACCGCACGCACGCACGCACGCACGCACGCACGCACGCACGCCGCACGCCCGGCCCGGCACGCACGCACGCGCCGCACGCCCGCACGCCCGCACGCCCGCACGCCCGCACGCCCGCGCACGCACGCACGCACGCACGCACGCACGCACGCACGCACGCACGCACGCGCACCCGCACCCGCACCCGCACCCGCACCCACACACACACACAGACATGGTGGGTTGTTAAAACCGTCCTTTGCATGGGATAACCAACGGTCAAAAGTCAAAACCACCAAACATCACAACTTTCCCTACTAAATGCGGAAAAGAAGCTCATAGCCATTTTGGGGCCATGAATCCACCAATCACTGGAAAGAAGCAACTCATCGGCATTCGGGACCAGAGCGGAATGTTCACAAAGCCATGGTCTAATTATTCAGCCAGTGGCCTGGTTGCAGGACAGCACCGAGGGCTCCAGGCTCCGCCTGCGCATCTCCTGGAGAATCGGTGCGACGCGGACCCGCAGCCCCACGTACCGTGGGCGTGCTGGAAGTGGTCAGCCCGTTGAACCGTGGCGAACCAACTTCGCTCACCGTCCTGAAAGGTTCTTGTAAAAGGAGGTTCTGAAAGGAACCCCGGCCCCCCCCCAAAAAATAAAACACACACAAGCCATCTCATTCATTTTGTGTGAGAAACCTCCAGGAAATACTCCAAGTTCGGTCAAACCTGCGGGCGCTTCGGGGTACTTGGCGACCCGGAGGACTTGCCGGAGTTGTCTTCTTCCAAACTTTGGGACCGCTTTTTGGGGAGGAATTTGGAGGTTTGGTATTGCGGGAACCCTTGGGTTGAAAGGAAAACCCAGGGAACAGCATGTGTGGGTGTCTCAAAATGGGATATGGACCCCAAAACCGGGCCTCGGGTTTCCTTTTCCTTGTAAACCAACCCCAAACTTCAGCAGGTACCCACGAAAAAGGACAGACGCATTTTGAAACAAACGAGACTCGGGATCCCAGAAAACTTCCAAGAGCTCTTGGGGTTGGTGTCTGCTGCCTCACCGTTCACGCGTCTCCGTGGTTTGACTGAAAGCGACCTTAAACTTTACAAGATCTTTGCTTTTGGTTGCTGGGTGGATCTGCCTTCTCGGATAAGACGCGCAAAGCATCTCGTGGACGCGCCGGAGGGGCTCATGCTACTAATGTTGACCCCGGATTAATAAACCTGTCCCATTATTAGGGGGTCTTCCCTCCAAAAGTGATGAATCCTAACTAAAATGGGACACCCCCCTATTAATCAACCAGGGGTTTATTAATCTGGGGTCAACATTATGCCCATAGGAAAAGGTGTGATCTCCTGGAAGAGTTCCACGGCCCGGTCTCCAAGGCCGTGCTGACACACCTGACGGGTCGACCCCCTTGGGCGGTGGCTCGTTTTGTTGAGGCTCGGGCGGCCCCTGTTTTGGTGGCTACAAAAAGGACAACCAAAAACACCACCCACCCAAAAGAAAGACGCGCTGAAATGGGTGTCTTTTGAAAGGGCCATGGTTTTTGAGGATACAGCTCAGCGTTTATGCTGTGGAAAAAGGTCGACTTAGAGGAGGTTGTTCCCTATTGTGACGCACACCCAACTCCAACCTTTCCGGTTGATCCCACGCCAAAAGCTACACTGCTACATGAATCTGTCGCTCCAAGCATCTCAAATCTGAGGGACTGGCCGGGAACTGGCGGTTTCAACCATGGTTTCAAAGTGGTGCGACATGGATTTCGTCCAGCCACACGCGGTTAGGCTACTGCAATCGCCATGTTTCCTACCGAAGTTCAGAAGGCACCGCGAGGCTACCTGATCGATATCCTGAAGCCATCCGAATGGGAGAGTAGCCCAGTCCGGTGACCCTCTCAAAGGGGAAACCCTTGGCTGACCGTTGATGGGAAAGCCGCACAGGCGTCCAACGTTGGTACAGTCCATGGCCTGGTTTATATGGCTTATAAAACCAATCTAAACCAGTGGAACCCATCTAGTTGTAACTAAACCGAATAGGACCGCTATGGGAAGCTTTGGAGAGTGCCACTGAACTTTGTTCTAAAGGCGGTCTGTCAAATGATTTGGTTCCTTAGGGTCAAATCACCCCCACAAAGCCAGGGAGCCGAAGAGCCGAACGCAGCAAGCCAGACAAGAAAGGTACCCAGCCACTTTCCTCTGAAAGATGGTTCTCGCCGCGGGTGAATGGAGCCGCGTGCTTGAAAATTCCCCACAAGTCCCCCATTCTTTGGGTGGCAAATCCGGAATGGGGATAGAACCATTTGGTCATCCAAGTAACCCAGTTTCTTCGGTTAGAACCACTCTGGTCAGTTCTTTGGTCATCCAAGTATCGGAACCGTTGGTTTCTTCGGTTTGCTCAACCCGGTTGCTTTGGATGGGTGTAGGCCGTCACCAGAAAATCGCCTCCGATGTTTGTTTCGTGGCAAAATGGAAAAGACACCCTCCCTCAACAAACGATCCAAAGAAGGGTACCGCGCCTCAACAAAAGCATCGATTTGAATAAGGACCCCACAATTGAAAATGCTTGGTACATGAATCCCCACCGATCTCTGATGCCTCTCTCTCGAACAAATTGGCGTGCGCAGTGGCATTCGCCCAAGTGAGTCGGGCGGGCCTGGAAGGCGGTGGCGAAGGTGAAGACGTTCGGCTCCAAGCCGGCCCCTCGCACAGAGCCGCTGTACCAACTTGCCCCCACAACACTGAAACCAATCTGAGCGGTCCTCAGATCCCCGAAAAATTAAACTTTTAGTGGGCGAAATGGAAAATCCCACGAACACTAAAAAGCTGGAACCGGATGGCTGGGAGCCACCAAGCAAATACCTGATATAGTTGCTGTTGGGCCTCACACACTGGCTATTCTATAAAACATGTGTGTTTGTTCGGCACCCCATTTTTGTGAGGTCACGACTCCATTGGCAACCCCTTCCAGCCCTTGAATATGAACAAGCAACAGCCTTGGCCAACAGAAACCGATAGGGACCAACCAAGCCCCACATCTGCCGGACCCAAGACAGTTACCCTCGCACTGCCCGTTTCTCATGCGTGCCCAAACACATCAGTTACGCAAACTGAAACTCAGCTTTGCTTGGGCGGTGCTCCAGGGGTGTTTTATACCTGCAGTGTCTGTGGCCGTGCTGCGAGAGCTTGGATTTGCAGAGTGGTTGGCTTGAGCGGGCTGCTTGGTGCAGGGTGCGCCGTGCCTGGTTTGGCATAACGGCCAGCAGCACGGCATATGGTCAGGAGCCCATGCCCAGTGATGGCCAGGACATATCCGGCCATGCAAGCCCGCTAGAGGACTGGACAAACAGCTTGGGACTCGCCCCATAGTTGTCGCCTGTAGGCACCACAGTCATATCCGAAAAGGAGAAAAGGAGACTTTGCCATGGCACCCATGTGGAGACTCCAAAGAACCCCTCCCTGCCCTGCCTGTGAGCATCTCAGGCAGGATCTCCATGGAGGCACGCCAGCGGTTCGCCTGGTCACCTCAGCGACTGTTTCTTCTTCGCCCGAGATTCATCGTTTGCCGGGGAAGAAACATGTGGCTCTCCACCGAGTATTGATGTCCAGCAGAGAGTCCCTCATCAAAATTCATGCCCATGTGTGTGTGTGTGTGTCTTTTGCGGTTTAGGGAAACAGGAGGACATCCACCAATTTTGAGGGTCCCCATTTGGAGACAAACCCCAGTGTTCCAAACGGCCATCTAAAAACGTGTCGAGTCAGCTTCGCCCTTTGGCATTTTGGGCTGTTGTGACAGTTGGGGGTGGTTGCTCCTGTGTGCTCAAGAGCCGGAAGTTCAAGTCCCCAAAACCACCAATCCAAATTCCAGTCAGCATAGAGCCGAAAAAAGCGGCTAGGGGCGGTTTGAGCGCACAAACAAATGCTGCCAGTCTAGAAGGGTTGTTCGGTAGCAAGAAACGGCTATGTTTGTTCAAGTCAAACTATCAAGCTTTTCGCCAACCAAAATAACCCGGGTCATACCCCCAACAGCAACCCCCGGAACTTTTCCGGAGACCATACCCGAAGCTCCAGCTGTTGAGAAAAACTCAGATCCGCAATGTTCACCCCCTGAGTAACAAAAAACCCACTTCTTATTGCGATGGGTACCCGTCTAGTGGGAAACACGTTCTTCCCCTGGGCTGTCCGTTTTCCGGTCTCCTGCTAAACGTGACTAACTTGTGGGTGAAATATGGACACCCAACCACTCAGCCAACAAAAAAACAAGCAAACACCTGGGAACGTCTCGGAACTGCCAAGCAAACTGGGGGGGAGGGGGGTATGAATCAGAGGCCACTGGATTTCCCCGAGTCAAAAGTTGATAAATTTGCTGCTGGTTTTCCTGAAAACAATCCCCTTGAAACGATCCCCACTTTTTGAGAAAACCAAAAAGGAAATGGCTCGGAAACCCCAACTAAACCCACTCAAAATCGGAAAAAACAGCAACCTAAGGAACGCGAGGGCTTGTTACCACCAGTTGTACAGGGATCAACCTTCCGCGTTCCGTCCGAAACGGGTCAGAACTCTAGGGGTTGATTCCCCATTCTTTGCAGCCATCGTTCTTTTCAAGCACCGATCGCCATTTCCCCGGATTTTTGGTGGTTTTCTAGAAAGATTCGGATCCCTGAAAAGAATGGGGAAGCTACCCCGAGATTGTCAGTAAGTTTCCGGTAACAATTCGGGTATAACCCACTTATAAGCCCCCCATGAATGTGGAGGTAACCTTGTTAGCGGGGTGGCTAACCCCGGCCTGTTCCACTTACTCACTGATTTTCTAGAAAGAAGTGAATGGAAAATGGAAGGTTCCCCTAGAGCTTTGTTCTTTTTTCGTTTGACTCGAGGCCGAGCCGGACAAAATATCCCTCGCCGTGTAGCTCCGCGCTAGAAGCTACCCCTAGAACAACCACCAGGCGCTTCCAAGGCACAAGCCCGGCAGGCGGCGGTCCACACCGCCAGCTCCGCATTGCCGCGGCTGGGATTTTTGCCCTCCCACGGGATGAGGCGTGGGAAATCCCGGGGCTCTTTTTCCGGAAATACCACCTTCCAACGTAGTCTTACATGTGCATATATATATATATATTATAATGCATCCAGTAGTTATGATTAGTGGAAAAGATTCCATCTGAAATAGAACCTGAATTAGTTAGTTTTAAAAAAGAAAGGATAAATATTATAATATTGTACCTTTTGCACAAGGGATCAGCAAGTTATTATAGACAGTGAGCTAAAAAGGCAATGGAAACGTAAAACAAATATGCAATAGACGTTAAGAAAGGGTTACAATAAAATACACCTAAGAAATTGAAATATATTTGATATCTATAAATATGTTGATTTGTGGAATACAAATATTATCTTAAATGTATCTAATGTAATACAAAACAAACAAAATAAACATTAATTAATATATAATATAAAATATTCTTTAGAATCTCAATAATGCTAAACAAATATAACCTATATGAGATATACTACTATATGCAAAACATGTTTTAAGATGCTAAATTATATATATATATATAGATATAATATTTTGGCTACTAGGTTTATTCCCCAATAACTGAAAGCTTTGGGGTCTCAGCCCAGATGGGCTCCGGGTGGTCCGGGGCGGCCCTGAGGTAAGGTTCCACAAGGGTTCCACGAGGGTTCCACCAAAGTTCCACGAGGGTTACTGTCGTTGTTATTATCATTATGTTACTATGTGTCAGCTCATAATTAATCATTATGTACCAACATCATGATTGACATGATTATGCTTCACTATTTACTATCCAGTGTTGATTTTCTATCATGGACTAGTTGTTTATCACTCTGCATTATTGTTCACAGGCAAAATAAGGAACCAAAGTTATTACTGCCTCGCACCTGACTTCATCCAGGCACTGTACTTTCAGATGTAATCGACAACGACCCTGAGGAACAACTGTGTCATTGGCACAAGGCAGGTGCTGGTCTCCCCTTATATAGCACCCCCAGGCCATCTAAACATGGACCTACTCTCCTACAGATGAACATAGACCCACACAAACACATATGTCATCTCTGGCTTTGCGTGAAAACAAATCACTATTTTTCCCGACAGCTTGGCGAATGCGCTAATCATTGTTACTTATTGTTTGGCTTTGAAACGCCGGCAATTGGTGTTACTTGCGCTTCATTCCAGAGTTTACGCCGGACTTTGACTTCATTCTGTTGCACTTACCATGGTTTTAAAGAAACCTTGACCCTCACACTACCCATAACAAAGGGAAATCACCTATCTTTGGGTTGCAAGTGCCCAATTCAAAGTTGGACTTTTTGAGGGTTTCGGAAGCTCCTTTTGCAGACCCCCCCTCTTTTTACTGGGCTTCCTTCCGTTCCACGGGACCTCGGCCTCGGAAACGCGCCGCTCGCCTGGCGGCCGAGGAGCCGCTCGAGGCGGCCGAGGTCTAAGAGCTGCAGCACCATGGGCCACTGCCGCGCCCTCGCTTTGGAAACCGCCCAAGGCGAAGGCGAGCGCGGGCCGCGTTGGAAACCGCGGCGCGGCGGTGGAAAAATGGTGGGCTCGGTCATCTGAGCTTGCTGATAGGGAATGTTCGGTTGAGAAGGAAACCATGGGTTGACTTTTGACTTCATCTTGCTGGTGCCTTAGGTTGGGAACACAGGGCTTTGATCTCTGAGGAGGAAACCATGGTGGATGGTTAGAACAAAAATGGGTCGCATTTATCAGCTTAACCACCAACTAACAATACCCTGCGATTAATTATTGTGAGTACATGAAACCCGACTGCACACACACACACATCCAAAACTCAGCACACCCCATTTCATGAAAAAATGGACACATGTCCATGAACAAACTTCAGTGGGTTGTGCCCACACCCTGAAGCCACGTTGTAGCCAGTGAGGTTGGCATCAATCCCGGGTATTTGATAGAGGGTTCGGAAGAGCTGCGGAACATCTCCATGGTGGGTTCCTGGCATATCGGTGATCCAGATCGAGAATCGAGTCGTTCTGGAGTTCTTTTGCGGAAAAGAAAAACCGCGGCGCCACTGAAACAGGAACATCAGACGAATTCATATGGATTCCAGAAGGTTCTCCCCGGTTTCCTCTACAGAAGATGGTTTTTGGGTTCCATGTCAACCAGAAAATATCTCAGGCGCTCTACCCGTATACGCCCTCTGAGCCGAACCCTCGGGTCCCCGCCAAAGAGGTCGCTCCCTCCGCCCGAACGAGTGAAGGCCTGGATCGACCTTATGGTGAAAAATGAGGAAAATACCATTTGCTCACGCGAATCCTTCGGTTTTTCTCTCAGTGGGCCTTTGGGGCCACACACAAAAAAAAACATGTACCCTCAAATTCCTAGATTTGACATGAGGAGCGGACGAAACACGTTACTTGGCCCTAGTACTTTTTTGAACGTTATCGTTTTTGGGGGAGACCTTATCGTTTTACACTGTTTTCGAACTTTGGCAGATCCGGCTCGAAAATCGCAACTTTGTAGTACAAGTCTAGTACGCGAAGTACACTTCCGCAGCTCCAGCTCGAAAATCGCAGCTTTGTAGTACAAGTCTAGTACGCGAAGTACGCTTCCGCATCTCCAGCTCGAAAATCGCAACTTTGTAGTACAAGCCTAGTACGCGAAGTACACTTCCGCAGCTCCAGCTCGAAAATCGCAACTTTGTAGTACAAGTCTAGTACGCGAAGTACACTTCCGCATCTCCAGCTCGAAAATCGCAACTTTGTAGTACAAGTCTAGTACGCGAAGTACACTTCCGCATCTCCAGCTCGAAAATCGCAACTTTGTAGTACAAGTCTAGTACTACACTTCCGCATCTCCAGCTCGAAAATCGCAACTTTGTAGTACAAGTCTAGTACGCGAAGTACACTTCCGCAGCTCCAGCTCGAAAATCGCAACTTTGTAGTACAAGTCTAGTACGCGAAGTACACTTCCGCATCTCCAGCTCGAAAATCGCAACTTTGTAGTACAAGTCTAGTACGCGAAGTACACTTCCGCAGCTCCAGCTCGAAAATCGCAACTTTGTAGTACAAGTCTAGTACGCGAACGTAGCAGCTTTGTACTACGCGAGTCTTCCGCATCTCAGCTCGAAAATCGCAACTTTGTAGTAGAAGTCTAGTACGCGAAGTACACTTCCGCAGCTCCAGCTCGAAAATCGCAGCTTTGTAGTACAAGTCTAGTACGCGAAGTACACTTCCGCATCTCCAGCTCGAAAATCGCAACTTTGTAGTAAGTCAGAACACTTCCGCAGCTCCACCTCGAAAATCGCCGCTAATACAAGTCTAGTACGCGAGCTACACTTCTCGTACGCGAAGTACTCTTCCGCAGCTCCAGCTCGAAAATCGCGACTTTGTAGTAGAAGTCTAGTACGCGAAGTACACTTCCGCAGCTCCAGCTCGAAAATCGCAACTTTGTAGTACAAGTCTAGTACGCGAAGTACACTTCCGCATCTCCAGCTCGAAAATCGCAACTTTGTAGTACAAGTCTAGTACGCGAAGTACACTTCCGCATCTCCAGCTCGAAAATCGCAACTTTGTAGTACAAGTAGTACGCGAAGTACACTTCCGCAGCTCCAGCTCGAAAATCGCAACTTTGTAGTACAAGTCTAGTACGCGAAGTACACTTCCGCATCTCCAGCTCGAAAATCGCAACTTTGTAGTACAAGTCTAGTACGCGAAGTACACTTCCGCAGCTCCAGCTCGAAAATCGCAGCTTTGTAGTACAAGTCTAGTACGCGAAGTACGCTTTCGAGCTCGAAATCCAGCATTTTCGAGTAGTTAGAAAGTACGCGAAGTACGCTTCCGCATCTCCAGCTCGAAAATCGCAACTTTGTAGTAGAAGTAGTAGAACACTTCCGCAGCTCCACCTCGAAAATCGCAACTTTGTAGTACAAGTCTAGTACGCGAAGTACACTTCCGCATCTCCAGCTCGAAAAGCGCAACTTTGTAGTACAAGTCTAGTACGCGAAGTACACTTCCGCATCTCCACCTCAAAAATCGCAGCTTTGTAGTACAAGTCAGTACGCGAAGTACACTTCCGCATCTCCAGCTCGAAAATCGCAACTTTGTAGTACAAGCCTAGTACGCGAAGTACACTTCCGCAGCTCCAGCTCGAAAATCGCAGCTTTGTAGTACAAGTGGAGTACGCGAAGTACACTTCCGCATCTCCAGCTCGAAAATCGCAGCTTTGTAGTACAAGTCAAGTACGCGAAGTACAATTCCGCATCTCCAGCTCGAAAATCGCAACTTTGTAGTACAAGTCTAGTACGCGAAGTACACTTCCGCAGCTCCAGCTCGAAATCGCAACTTTGCAGTACAAGTCTAGTACGCGAAATACACTTCCGCATCTCCAGCTCGAAATCGCAACTTTGTAGTACAAGTCTAGTACGCGAAGTACACTTCCGCATCTCCAGCTCGAAAATCGCAACTTTGTAGTACAAGTCTAGTACGCGAAGTACACTTCCGCAGCTCCGGCTCGAAAATCGAACTTTGTAGTACAAGTCTAGTACGCGAAGTACACTTCCGCATCTCCAGCTCGAAAATCGCAACTTTGTAGTACAAGTCTAGTACGCGAAGTACACTTCCGCAGCTCCAGCTCGAAAATCGCAACTTTGTAGTACAAGTCTAGTACGCGAAGTACACTTGCGCACCTCCAGCTCGAAAATCTTCCGCAGCTCCAGCTCGGAAAATCGCAACTTTGTAGTACAAGTCTAGTACGCGAAGTACAATTCCGCATCTCCAGCTCGAAAATCGAAACTTTGTAGTACAAGTCTAGTACGCGAAGTACACTTCCGCATCCCCAGCTCGAAAAGCGCAACTTTGTAGTACAAGTCTAGTACGCGAAGAACACTTCCGCATCTCCACCTCAAAAATCGCAGCTTTGTAGTACAAGTCAAGAAAGCGAAGTACACTTCCGCATCTCCAGCTCGAAAATCGCAACTTTGTAGTACAAGTCTAGTACGCGAAGTACGCTTCCGCAGCTCCAGCTCGAAAATCGCGACTTTGTAGTACAAGTCTAGTACGCGAAGTACACTTCCGCATCTCCAGCTCGAAAATCGCAACTTTGTAGTACAAGCCTAGTACGCGAAGTACACTTCCGCAGCTCCAGCTCGAAAATCGCAACTTTGTCGTGCAAGTCTAGTACGCGAAGTACACTTCCGCAGCTCCAGCTCGAAAATCGCAACTTCTCAGTGCAAGTGTCGTATTTACGAAGCACACCTTGGCAGCTCCAGCTCGAAAGTGGCGACTCGCCTTCTCGTTTTACGGTGGCCACGCAAGGGTCCCACCCTAACTAAGTTGCAACTGCAGGGGTTACTATATATAGCCGTGTGTTAGCTAAGGGTTATCGTTTTTGGGGGAGACCTTATCGTTTTCCATGGTTTTGGCATGTGTTATGCCAAAACGTACCCCGCCTTGATAAAGTGGTCTTCGTGTGTTTTGTCCGTGGCTCACATGGTTCTTGACCGCGCCCGCGTCGACACTGCTCCGTAGATTTCCGCTTTGAATATCACCCCTCTAAAAGGAAACTCCCCAAGTGCTTCAAAAGATGATGTTTAACCCTCCAAACTCCCTTTCAACTGGCTTTGCCCCAAACATATGGTTGGTGAATCCCCCAATTTACGGGCAGTTTGAGATCTTTAGCCCACCCCAAAAAGGGGCGGAATTTTGGGGGCGCCCGACTGCTGCTCGCCGATTCGATCGCGTGGAGTCCAATTCGAGTCGATCGGACTCGCTGGCCTCTCGCAGGCGAGGGACAGGGCGCTCAGCGATACAGAGGTGGGCCCCGGCATCCGAGGCATGTCCTCACAGTCTCTACCTGTCTCCTTCTGACCCGAACTAAAAAAATGGGCCCATGACCCAGTTCCTTGTTTTGGGGAATGACCAACCATTTTTAAAGGGTCATGGAGACTCTAGGCAGATTCTAATGTAGTTGGCCCTTGGGTGTTCAACCAACCTCAGGCAGGCAGTGTACCATGGATGAAATTGGTGGGTAACTGGGGTGATCGTCCCCTTGCCTTGCTTATAACCTATTTACCCCGGGTTCAGATGACAGTCAATCAATGGTCCGCCATTCTGCTTACCTCAGGAGGTTCATCATCTAAATTGTTTCTTTTTCTGCAAACTCATGTGAAACCCAAAATGGGGGCCTGAACGGAGATCGCTCTATAAGTCGTGGCTGTGCTTCAGGCTCCATATACAAGATGTGTCTGGTTGGAATCCATTATATAGGCGACCGCCCTCTTCAAACCGAATGCATGGTGAACAAGTGGCATCATTGCATCCCAAGCAAAACGTGAAATTGTTGCTTTGATATCTTTGATCATTTGGAGCCCTTGGTAGATGTGGGTGTAATTTTGGGGCCGGGCAAATCATTTCAAGAGCAACCCACATAGCCAAAGCGCATTGCTTTGCGTCCACCTTCTTCTTGTAGGATCACATATCCCTAGATTGTTCAATATCAACAGGAACCCTAACTTTACTTGAATCGCCCTGACTAGGTGAAATACCATGTCAACTTCGGATAAATCTGGAGGATCGACAAATGCAAATGGAACGCGCAGCTTCTCAAATCCGTGCATCAACTCGTGCGTCTTGGTCCGGGGGAATGTTTCGCAAGTATGTTTCAAAGGAGTTTCGGAGGTATGTGTTTCCGCAGTCCTACGCACACAGACAAAACCAAAGGTGATGCCTGAATCAAGCCTTTTCTTTGGAGGCATCGCGCAAATTGACATCCACGATGGACACTTCTGTTCTGTTCGTGGGGCAACGCCTGCAAGACAAATCTTTGGGCACGGTTGGGGGTATTTATTTGGCATGTGTCGGCATGTGGCTCAAATGGCATCAGTCTTGCAACCATGCAGCTATATTTAGGGTATGTCAAGATCAAACACATTGCAGTCCCTTGGGCAATCCCAACTGCAATGCAGAGAGCGCAAGCCAACGACTCTTTGAGCGTGAAAGCAAGTGCATGGTCGAAAGGCGGAGGCAGTCAAACGACGTTCGTGGTCACCTTGGGGTCCCACCCTGAAACCCTGAAGCTGCAATTGCAAGGGTTTTTAGACAGCCCCCTTTGAACTGCGAAACAGCACTTTTGGCGCGAAGTGCTGTCTTCTTGAAAAGGAGCGTGTTGCAGTGCAGGCGGCGTTCCGTTTGCCTCCTCTTGCAAATGTGTTTTTTCCCCTCAAGGTTTATCTTCCGCTAACAGATGCCTGGGAGGTGCTCAGATCCCCTGCTCACTTTCCGTGGGTTGAACGGAAACCTTACCAAACCCACTAAAAACCAACAGGGAACTGGACGATTCGCTGGGAACCACCAAGTTCCAAGGGCCTCCATTTGCTTAAGTCCCCTGAAAACGCAACAAAAATCCAGTAGTGATAGATTCCCTCTAAACCACCAGGGGAAAAAACAAATATTCTTCACATGGAAGTAGGCCTTGAAGACGCCGAAGATCCCAGCCAGGAATCCCCACTTTCTGCCCGCAACCGGGTGCCCGGGCCCGCATGGCGTGCATGAGGCGCAAGCCTTGCCTTGGAACGACTCAGCTTCACCCGAATTGGTTTGGAGCCCGGCGGTCTGGTTAAGGAGTGGTTTCCTATTTTCCCTTCGCAAGAACCAGAGGTTCAAGTCCCTGAACCACCAATCCAAACCACCAATTCGGGGCTACCTGAAAGACTATCGGATAAGAACCCATGGCTTTTGGGCAATGGTTCAAACTGTCTTGACCCAACAACTCCCCGCCAGGATGTCAATAACAAAGCAGCATGATTTTTTCCGGACCCCAACCTATTTCGCAACACAGAAACAAACACACACACACACACACACACACACACACACACACACACACACACACACACACACACACACACACACACACACACACACACACACACACACACACACACACACACACACACACACACACACACACACACACACACACACACACACACACACACACACACACACACACACACACACACACACAACACACACAAACACACACAAACACACACACAAACACAACACAAACACAAACACAAACACAAACACAAACACAAACACAAACACAAACACAAACACAAACACAAACACACACACACACACACACACACACAGACAGACAGACAGACAGACAGACAGACAGACAGACAGACAGACAGACAGACAGACAGACAGACAGACAGACAGACAGACAGACAGACAGACAGACAGACAGACAGACAGACAGACAGACAGACAGACAGACAGACAGACAGACAGACAGACAGACAGACAGACAGACAGACAGACACACAGACTCACGCACAAAACACACACACACACACACACACCATCCACCCACCCACGCACGCGCTCACGCACCCACGCACCCACCCCCCCACCCCCCCCCCCCAACACACACACACACACATACACACACACACAGACACAGACACAGACACAGACACAGACACAGACACAGACACAGACACAGACACAGACACAGACACAGACACAGACACAGACACAGACACAGACACACACACACACACACACACACAGACACACAGACACACACACACAGACACACACAGACAGACACAGACACACACAGACACACACAGACACACAGACACACAGACTCACGCACAACACACACACACACCCACCCACCCACGCATGTGCTCACGCACCCACGCACCCACCCCCCCCACCCACCCACACACACACACACACACGCACACACAACAGCTATAGCACCAGGACCAGAACAAATCAGAAATTGCAACAAAACATCACACTGAATCAGCTGAACACAACCAGACAGACAGACAGACAGACAGACAGACAGACAGACAGACAAACAAACAAACAAAGAAGCACAAACACTGCCAACCAGGCAGGCAACCTAGCAACCAACCCACCAACCCACCAACCCACCAACCCACCAACCCACCAACATCAACCAACCAACCAACACACGGACCAACCAACAAGCAACCACATCACCCAGAGGCATGATACAGCTTCAGCCACCAAAGTGAAGCAACACCTTCCCACTCCGCGAGGACTCCTCTGGGCTCTCCGGCCGCCATTGGCTGGCGCGGCCACAAGCACTCAGACACCCATTGAGGGCCTCAAATCGGGAGAGAGAGGACATCAGGTCCAACATAGGAGTCTCGGTTCAAATCTGGGGCACAAAGCAACATAGAGGTTCATCAAAAGGTCCGATGAACATGGGGTGACCATTCGAGAAACAACACAAGAAAAGATGACTTTCACCAAATGGGAACAGTTACTCATGGTCATTTTGGGGCCAGGAATGTTCCGTATTTTCTCAGATTCTGGTCAATATTTAGTATCAGTTCCCTCTAATTGATGGTTTGGAGAAAACGGGCTCACCCCTGATTTGGACCCTGAGAAACAATCGGGAGGGGGGCTTGCTTTTCCCAAATGAGCGGCGTTGCTTTGCCCACAAGGCAAAGTAGCAGGGAGAGGGACATGAATCGCTCGCTAAAGTAGCAGGAAGACCCGCACCCCGCCACATGCGTGGAAGCATGCGGAAGGCTTCGTGGAAGGGATGTCTATCACGGAAGGTTTGCGGAAGCTCCGTGCACTGGTAGCCCAATGGAGCCCAAGCCTACACATGCTACACCAACTCAGGCGGAACATTACATTCTTTACTTACTAAACTGGCTTTCCTTTCTGCGCCAACACTCGCGGAAGCAACTCTTGTAAAACATGCGCAGCGGAAGGTGTGCGGAAGCAACGAATGCAAAACATGTGCCGCGGAAGTCGAGATTGGACCTCTTAGCTTGCGGCAAGCATGAAGAAGGGTCCGCGGAAGCTTGAACAATGTCCAATCAAGCTTGAGGGGAACAATACCCGACGCTCAATTGGGAGTGGGGATGACGGCATTGTTTAACTTCGTGGGGGTCATGCATCAAGTTACGCGCTCCTAGCCAATGGTTCGGCAAACAGCAACTCCGCTTCTGTTGGAAGCCAACTTCCTGCTCTTCGAACATGCCCTTGACATTTTGCTTGGGCGTCCTGTTGTGAAAATGGCTTGATTATGCTTCAGCCCGGATCTTGCAGGAGCCATGGCCTGAAAGCAAGGCTCGCAGCTGAGTTCCGAGGACTTATGTGAGTCGCAATCAAAACCGATCGGTACCAAAATGGTCAATCCCCAGAAACATGTACGGGAAGAAGGCGGATGTCCGCAGCTATTTATGGTTGGGATCGTCCCTAACCTTCATCTACCCGGGTTTTGAGCAAGTGGCTCATGTGGACATTGTGAGTTGGCTCTGAAGTTGCTACTGTTGCATTAGCAACGGTTTAATCATATTGCGAACCAAGACAAGGAGAAGTCTGGCAGAAAGAATGTGAAGGGCGAAACAAACGATTCCTGGGGTTTCCTTGAAGGTTGTTGTTTTGTGCACCCCTAGTTGGTGTTTGGATCGGTTGGGGAACCCCTCCTTTACGTTGAAACTCGCTCAAGCACATCCAACAATAGGGACGGGACAAAGGTTGATGCCGACTTAAGCCTATGTTGGCCCCCTTTCCATGTGTGGCCATGGGTCAAAATCCCGTACCCACATTGAACATCCCAATCCCCACTAAAATAGACTAAAATGGGTGGTGCACCTACCCCACAATGATACCATTGGTGTTGACCCACAGCCGTGTCACTCACTTCTTGGCCGGATTGGCCAGAAAAGTCCGGACTTGTTGCTTGATGTTGACCCAGGATCTAAGTAGAACCCGTCCCATTAGTAGGGGGGTGGTGCCTCCAAAAGTGGTCCGAATCTCCGCTAAAAGGGGACACCCCCGAATCATCAACCAGCGGTTTTTATTAATCCGGGGATAATTTGACCCACCAACCTTTTTTTTCCGAACAGTTGCAAGCCCAGGAACTCAGGGAGTGAGCTTTGGGCTTTGTCCTTTCGGCCTGGGATGCTAGCACCTCTCCGCCCGAAGCAGCCCCCATTCAGTCAGCTATATAATATCCCCACGTCAACTTCCTGAGTTGGCCAAAAAAACATATGACGAACTTTGCCACCTCCCCCCATCTACTGGTCTGACTTCCTCATGGCTGTTTTGGGGCCATTTGCCAGCCATTGGCGGGTGCTGGTGTATTTGCACCCAACATCGCCTTCCCAAAATGTTTAAAGTTCAGAAACTGAGGGCGTGGCAAAGCAGTCGCCCAAGCGGATTGCATGTGTCTTCAGATGCATAGATTACAACAAAAAATAGAAGGTATTCTTGCGCAAATGGAAGACATCAGGAAGAAAGCAACTGGAAGACATCTCGTGCAATAGTCTGCGACTTGTTTCTGTTGGTTTCCTTTTCAATACCACGAAGAAGGGGGCTCCGCAACCAAAAGATGAGCCTGGACCCTCACACTACCCATAAAAAAGGTATAGGACAATTCACAAATTCCATCATGTTGGGTTGCAATAACCAAGTTTTACGCCTTGTCTGTTGGGGCAACCAATATTTCTATGGCAAGTTTGCGGCCCACACGGGCAAAACAACAAACCACCCCCCCGCGCCCTCGCGCGCGCGAAACACGAAAGCGGCTGGCCTTGAGGCGCCGGGACTTGTCGATGGTGGGCTCCTCCAGAAGCCACAAGGCGCCCGGCCAGCTCTGTGCCTGGAATTCCCGGTGATACTGTGGATGGACAAAACCCACTTTGAAGATCCTCTTGCAAATACCAGCTCCAAACATGATTTCTCATGATTTCAATTTGGCGCAGGATTCAGGATTTCGTCCATCCACTGTGGATGGAAATACCTTCTTTCTTAGTAGAGGCTTGACATGATACCCTTGGAAAGTGGGTATTTGGAGTAGGGGTGGGGTTCCCTACTCTGGATTGTTGCGAAATCCATTTCGCACCACCTCAGAATCCCTGGAATGATGATGCCCCTGTATATACCAACAAACAATGGGTTCTCATGATTACAAAGTGGTGCAGCAGTTCGTCCATCCACTGTGGATGGAAATACCTTCTTTCTTAGTAGAGGCTTGACATGATACCCTTGGAAAGTGGGTATTTGGAGTAGGGGTGGGGTTCCCTACTCTGGATTGTTGCGAAATCCATTTCGCACCACCTTAGAATCCCTGGAATGATGATTCCCCTGTATAATATACCAACCAACAATGGGTTCTCATGATTACAAAGTGGTGCAGCAGTTCGTCCATCCACTGTGGATGGAAATACCTTCTTTCTTAGTAGAGGCTTGACATGATACCCTTGGAAAGTGGGTATTTGGAGTAGGGGTGGGGTTCCCTACTCTGGATTGTTGCGAAATCCATTTCGCACCACCTTAGAATCCCTGGATTGATTATGGCCCTGTACATACCAACAAACAATGGTGTTTTTTCATGGTTTCAAAGTGCTGCAGGATTTTCTCCATCCACTGTGGACGGACGAAATCCATTTCGCACCACTTTGAAACCATAGGAAGCCTTTGTTGGTTGGTACTTACAAGGGAATCATGAATCCCGGGTTTCTCAGGTGGTGCAGGATTTCGTCCGGACATGTTTTGGGGTTGGTGGTTTGTTTAAAGGACCTTTTCAAGTTGGAACTGGCTTTCCAGTTGGAACTCCACTACCCATAGAAAAGGGAATCCACCCTCTAGAATGCTGGGTTGCAATAACCCATTTGTATGTTGGAACTTTGAGGGTCCACAGAAACATGTGTTTGGGTTTGTTCTCGTTTTTTAAAGGCCTGTTGTGGGAACTGGCTTTCTAGGGTACCGAAACACTTCACCCTGATTTTCTAGGACAGTTCTCGGTTGTTTTTTGCTCCCCTGCTAAAAGTTTAACTTTTAGTGGTTTAGTGGAAAACCCACTAGTTGGCAAAAAGTTAAAGTCCTAACAGCCAAGCAAAATGCACCAAAGAGTTGTTATAAGTTGTTTTAAGGACTGAATTCAAGGTTTGCTCAATGGAACTTGGAGGGCTTCGGAGGACGAGCATTTCCACCCCCCCCCGTCCCCGTCCGCGTCCCCCGCGCTTTCTTTCTGCAGGATCTCGCGCCTCAAGGAGCGACTTGATGGCAGCGGACTGCTTGGCGGGCGCCTCTCCGAGTCGCGCGGGGCTCTGGTCTTGGGAGTGACCCTCAAAAGAATCCAACTCACAAATGGGTTATTGGAAGGGTCAGGTAGGTGGTTGTTCTTGGACTACCTCAACAATCCAACTTACAAATTGGCTGCAACCCAAAATTGTTTGGTGAATTCTGAATTATTCTAAACTATTCTGAATCCTCATGGTTTAAGGGTTTGGGAGTGCATCCGTTTTTGGTTGGTCCAAACGGCACGATAGGACAGCCCTTCCTTGACCTTGGCCCCAGAATTCTTGGCTGGAATTAGGACCCCAGCAAAAACATATGTCTTTGCCCGGTTAGTGGAAAACAAAAGCAACCCCCCCCCAAAAACAAAGGGGGGAACTGATTCGGGGGAGAATTGTGGGACAATCGCCAGCCTTGGGGAAGAGCCTTCGGTTTTACGTGTCTGTTTTTGAAGGTACCGATTATCGTTTGGCTAGTTTCAAGGAACCCCCCTCAAGACCAGAACCAACAAACACGCTGGAGGTATGCGAAAACCCAAGTGTTGTGGAGATGCTCTGCAAAATCCTCCCTGCAGGCCTCATGGAGATTCGATCGGGTTCTACGGTTCTATGCCAATCCGCTGAAAGGACACGGCCTACACAAAACCAGTGCATCCAGCCTCCGCTGTGGCAAATGACCAGAGTAAAACCCAGAGGCGACAACTAATCTGATTACATATTGGGAACACCCCTGCCTTTCCTGGCTGGTGTTTGAGAGGCCACAAACTCACAAGCTGGCTGCCTCATTCGCTGGTCGCAAGATGTGGGTCTCATGTGCCCGTCCCGGGCCGGCAAGCATGGCAAGCGCCACTTTGCTCCCGTGGCATGTGCAAGCCTAGACGACAATATGTTTGCTATCATCTCCAGTGGATCCATTTTACCGAATAGCGGGAAACCAAGGGAACAACCCTTCAAAAACAAAACGGAAAATAGCAGGTTGCCTGCTATATTGGGCAACTGGGATGCACTGGGATCCTGCTGCCGTCTCCGGCGATGGGAATGGACTGCTTACAGCGGCCAAACAGAACCACCAAGTCGGAATAGCACTTGGGCCCTTTAAGACTCGACTCAGTACCGCAATTATTTATCTCCGAAATGGGCTCTGCCTATTTGGGAAGCCTCCCAAACGGAGCGGTTTTCCGTTGGTTCTAGTACTACAAGACGACTAAACGGGCATCTCCAAAAAAGACACACCAGCAAATCGCCCAGACACCTCTTCATTTATCCAATAGTTTCCCATCGAACTGGCAACGATGGCGTGTGCTGCTACGTTGATCCGAGGTATGGATCAACTGTTGGCAAGCATTACATAGTGTAAGCGTGTAGATAGATAGATTCGTACTTTTGGTTTCCTCCAATCATTCTGCAATATATGTATGTTTTTTCAGGAATCAGAGACAGCTTGGCCAAACTGATGAGCCCCGTTTTTTTCCCGCCAAACAGGTAGCACTATCCTCAAGGACTGGTGTTTGGTTGGAATCTAGGGTGTCTCAACAGGAAGGCTTTCCGATTGACACCACCCAAAGGTGCTGCAAGTCACACTTCCACGCCTTCCATCGCGTGACTGGTTTGAGGTGGACGGTTTGGTTCAATGAAAGCGTAAACCGTTGGGTGTCCGGGGTGTGGGGTCCCTGGCATCTATAGGGATCTACATACCTAAGCCCTCAACATTCCAACTTAAAAACTGGCGATTGCAAGACAAAATTATGGAATTGGTGAATTCAAACTGTTTGTTTGGATAGTTTTCCCCGCCCAGGTACGCCTACACCTCCAAAAAGCTTACTTGGGGTACACCAAAAACGGCATTGCTGAATATTTGCTACAACCACAAACATAATGATGTTTTCGAATTCTGTTCAAATATGTAGCCTACCCTGAAATACAAATATTGCCTAAAATGCCGATACATCCTAACTATACTTCATATTCGGTCCCTCAGAAATATGACATCGTTTTTGGAGGAGACAACAGAAAACAAAAAACTTACCTCAAAGGTATGACATCGTTTTGGAGGAGACAACAGAAGAAGAAAAACAACTAAGAAAGGCTCTCAACCTGAGGATCTCTCAACGGTCCTTTCACAGATCTTCCCTCGCCTGGCGCTTCGCCTGACGCCCATGGCTCGAGCCTGGCGTGCTTCACGAAAATGGACCGCGCGGCCCTCCCCGAGACTAACATGGAAGCCCCCAGGACCCCTTTTTGCAAGACTTGGCTCCATTTACCGAGGCCTTTTGGCAGCTTCCATGTTAGTCTGAGGGAGTGTCACTTGCGGAGTTGGAACCACAAACGCCATGGTATCATTCTCATGGTTGCGGGCCTTGGAAAAAACAAGACGCTGGCTTTATATAAAGCCCGGTGCCTTTTTTTTGTTTGAAGCAATACACCCTTGACTGTTGTTGGGATACCCCTAGGCTTGCTCAAAACATCTCAAAACAATTGTCCCAACCATAGGTGAGCCTTGGTAGATGGTTTGTAAAACCCATAACTGAGCCAGTGGAACCCATCGATTTCGAACCAAACCTAAAAAGGACACTTATGGTCGCAACTTTGGACCTTGACTCGTCAACCTTCTTTTTCCTGATCAAAAGCGTCTCACAATCATCTGAGCCATGGTCAAAACTCCGTTTCTTTGGCATGGGTCCCTTCAAAGGCGTCATCGTAATGGTCTCACTTCCTGAGATGGGCTAAAAATAGTCCAAACTGTTTGCTCTCGAAAAGCTTAAAGTCCAGAAAGTTGGGGAGCAAGTGGTTATTGAGGATCCTTGCCTGGCCAGGTGGATGCCCTGTCAATCCCAAATAACAGAACCGGTCTTTTTGGAACATGTGCCACCCACAAGAATCTTCCCAACAACAACCGGCAAATTGAAGGGCAAGTCGAGTTTCCGGCACTGCCTTTTTCTTCAAGCCAGAAACGGACATGAGCCCTAGTGTCTGAAGGGCCTTGCCGGGTAAACCAACAAAGGCTGGACCACTTGCTGCCTATCCACCAAACATTGGGCCGCTGGCATGTCGCCCCAACCCCCTCGCGATCGGCCAAAAGACAGCAAACACCCCACCTGAGGCCCTCGTTTCGCCGTGGACCTGGCCCTTTTCGGCAAAAAAAAACCTTCCTCCAACCAAGATGGCCCTTTCAGGTGCCATGGAGCCATATGGAGCCTAATGGGATGCGACTGTTTTTCCCTTGGGGTCTTTCGCCTTCTGGGCCTCTGGGAATTGTTTGAATGGCCACACAACGGAGACCAACAGCCCTCCAAATTCCTATCCCGGCATGGTCATGCTTACCTCTCCTTCAAGCTTCCCAAATAAAAAAGAACTCTCCAACCACGTGATAGTTTTGGGTTGCAATAACACATGACGAACTTTCTGAGCGTCCAGGTCGGCCAAGAGCCTACCGCTTGCATCAAACAGTATCTCACAGTCGGGTGAAGCTCAAACGGTGCCGATGGCATACGTCGCAAAGCAAATCGCGAGCATCTCCTTTCGTCGCCTTGTCGCTTTCTCCAGGGGCCACTCTTGGTATGGGCGGTAGCAAGAAACTGACTTTGCTTTGCTGCAGCCAGAGAAAAACTGAAGAGACTACCAAAAACCAGAAAATAAGTACACGATTTTAAATGCCCACGCTGTCCTTTGAAGTCCGTCAGAAATTGGTCTGCAAGTAGTCTTGCTCGACACCCAAGGACCCCCTAGGAACCGGTGCAAGTCCTAAATACTGCAAGGGAAACAAGGGAACCCCCTTTGCCAATATTTCTCCTGGTGGGGTTTAGTGTGGTTGGTTTGCTTAAGCAATGTTTCACACGGTGTCTTACCTCTAGGGTTTACAGGATGGTTTGCCTGAAGTTGACGTTCGACGCTACGCACAAAGGACTCATTGCAAAAGTCCCGCACTCCCTGGATAGCACCGGGACATGCAGCCCTGACAGTGGTTCGACCTCACGAAACGCATCGAAATCCGTTCGTCTCTGAAAGCCTTCCACGTGAATGTCAGGAAGCACTGCCGCTGGCTCCACTTGGAAGCGCAGGGGGAACATGGCGAGCCATCTGAATATCTGCAAGTTGCGAGAACTGGTTGCTGCATTATCTGGCTGTGGGTCAAAAGTAGGGCAACCCCAAAATGGGTTGCCTTGGTTTTCTGGAAAGATGGACGGTTTGACCTGGGTCCATATCCAGTTTTTCTTTTTGACCCATACCCATCTCACTTCCGCGGATTGGGCAGGGAAAGGAAGAAGCTCACGGAGAGGCCTAATTACCTGCCGGATCCGACCCGCCGAGAAACGGCGCAAGGTACCGCTGTGCTCTGCGTGGCGGTAAAGGCTGGCCCAAAACAGGGCTAAGGAGCTTGATGTGGGTGGATGTGGGTGGATGTAGGTGGATGAGAGTGTGTCGGTTTTGTTAAGGCTTGGTAACTCAGTACTCATGTTGTTTTTCGAAGTCTAAAGGCACCCCTAAATGGACAACCGAAACGGTGTGGCGGGGCTCGCAAACAACTTCCACATTGACGTGGGTCCATGTGCGCCGCGAACATCGAAGCTCCGCTTGAGCCATGACAAGCCAACGGCCTTGAAGGGTTGCAGGGTGTCTTTGGGGTGGGGGGGGGGGGGTAAGCTTTGCTCACCGAGAAGAACCGACCCTTGAAGGGGGAGTCAAGCATTGTTCCACAAATCCCCTTATGTCAAAAAACCCAAGACCTACATGGTGGGCTCGCCCAAAACGCCTGAAGTGAGCTTGACTCCCCCTTTTTTCAAAGGCCGCCATGGTATTTTGGGAGATGGGGGAGGGGGACAGGCCAACGGAGGGCACGGGTTTTGAGAACTGGGATTCATGTACCGCTTTTGGTCCAGCTCAAACTGGGAGCCATGGGAAGGTCGCCAAGGTGATTCAGGTCCTGAGTTTCTCATGGTCACAACTAGACTGCAATGGATCCCCTTGCTATTGCCCTGAACCAATAATATGAATATAGGTTCATATACCTTCGACGGATTGTAAACATATTCGCTCCTTGGTGTCCTGTTGTTGTGAACTATTGCCCAAGAGGCATCTGGTTTTTGGAGGCCAGGGATAATAGAACATATCTTCATGTCAGCAAACGGGAGAGACGTCTGCAAATGGACATGGAAGGAACACAACTCATGTCTTTTTCACAGACTGGTAGCCCAAGGAAATCGGAACCGACCCCAAGATTCCAACCAAACAATGATGTTTGCAACGAAAAGGTCTGGCTGGTGACTTCCAACTTCTTTAAGGGGTACTGAGACCCGGAGGGTCAAACAAGCCAGAAAGAAGTTCGACATCACCAATTCCATAATTTTGGGGAATAACTCCCCATCTTTGAGGCTGACGGGGAATTCTAGTTGGGTCCAGGTTTCAAGCCTGGGTTGAAGGCTTCACACATTTTGTTCGGCTCCGCCGTTCTTTCGGGCCGAATCGGGGTTCCCAGGCGAAACCACAAATTTGATTGAGTCCAGCTGAATTCCAAAACTTCTTTCGGGCCGGTGGAATCGGGGGGTAACCTGAAACCCGCAAACCCGCAACCAGTCGCCCCGCACCGCTCGACGTCCGCTGGTCCTGCAGCCTTTGCCTCGCCACGTCCTTGGCCTGCGCCACGTTCTCCGCGTGCGGCTCCAGGGCCTGCGGCCGGCATCGGTCCCGCGCAACCGCCGGAAGCCGGGAGCGAGTCGAAGACGTGGGGTCCGGAAAGCTGCCTGGAGCCTCAAACTGCTCATATAAAAAAGGGAGTTCGCCCCATAGGCTTGGGGCAATAAGCCATGTTTAAGGGCTTCTCGAGCTCCAGGTGACCAGGCACAAAACAACATGTTTGAGCTTCTCCGGTCCATACCGTAACCGGGGTTTCTTTAGGTGAATCCATTGCGCACCACCTAAGAAACCATGGGTGAAACCATAACGTTTCTTGCTGGAAGAGTATTCAAAGAGAAGCAACTGGTAAAAAACAACCTGGGGAATCCACACCAATCAATTTGGTGGAGCAGATCAAATCACACTCCCTTGTGGGGTAAGTAGAGGCCATCTACTTTGAACTGTAGTTTGCTTTCTTTGGGGGGAGGGGCATATTGCTTGTTTCTGTTTGAGACAGGTGTTCAAACCGATTCCTTGGGGCCCAAGCCGTCAAAGCTGTATCTTTCGGTGGGGAGGTTCTCAGGACCCCGATTTCCCCTCTTAAAACCAACCAAACAGGGTTCCCCCCCCCAAAAAAGCGAGAAGGGTTGTGGGTAAAGGATTTCTCTTTTTGTCATTTGGAGGAGGTGTGCTGCTAAAAATGTAAATGGGGAACCCACCAAAAGTATTTTGTCGTTTCCACCAGTCTTGGGGAGGGTCTGGGTGGCTGGTTGGTAGGATCCCTGAGTTTATCAAGTCGATGAGTTTTGCAGGAATTTCTACAGCCTGGAGATTCCAATGAAGAGGAATTCTCAGGCGTTCTGGTTCACGAGGCGTTTTAGGTGTTTTAGGCGTTCTTTTTTTTTCTTCGCTTTTTGCGGTTCTTTGCCCCTTTTTTGCGGGCGTTTTGCGGCAATTTGCGGGCGCTTCCTGTTTCTAGGCGTTTGCGGTAATTTGCGGTCGTTTGCGTGCAAAGCAGGGTCAATGCCGAGAATTACTAGGAATTCCTTGACGTTTGAATCTCCATGGAGGTTTTTATTTATTTCTTTCCGGTGCGTGCGTGGCAAATGTTCAGTGGCACTTCCTGTGGAAGTCCCGATCTCTTTCCTATGCAACATAGACACCCCGTCGGGAAGTCATCGCTCCGATGTCTCGAATTGAGGCCCAACAGCGATTTCCAAAACAGGAAAACCTTCAGGTCAGATCCGGTCGATTCGCTTTGGACGAATGGGTGCTTGAAGATGTTTGGTTCTAAAGGGAGATCGAAAGGAAACCAAAATCCATGTTGGATATGGATATGGAGGGCCCGCAGTGAAGGCAACGCTCCATAATTAGTGGGCTCAAATCCTAGGAAAGGAAAACCGGGAATTTAAAAAAAGAAAGGAAAACCAAAAAACATGTTAGCTTCAAACACTTTCCTAGACACCCCAAAAAGCAAACAGGTTGTTTTACTGGAGTTCACCCCGCAAAAAAAATAGACGCCCAAAAATCCGGTTTCGGTTCACCCCGATCAGTCACTCCGCTTTCTCCGATGGCCTGCAAGCCCTTGGCAATGCCCTCCTCCAGCTGAGACCGAAGCGCCGCTTCCATGGACTCCTCTCGAAAAGGCGACGTGCGAAGGCTCCAGTGAGCCATATACACACTCGTTGTGTTTGTCTTTCGAAGAAGATGAAGACAGTGTATTTGCCCGAAGATGTAAGATAAGCTTCTGTGGCAAAGATACTTCTTAAGGCTTATTAAGATAGGTGTCCTTTTGGTAAAATAGATGGCCCTAATGGCTTATAACGCCCATCTACACCAGTGAAACCCATCCATTTCTAACCAAACTAAGCGATCAACAGGTGCCACCTATGCTTCGGAAAGCCTCTAAGCTGGGTGTCTTTTCCCAAGAGTTTTGGTTCCATAACGAACAATGGACACCATCAGGAATCAGGGAAACCGAAACCAAAAGGATAAAAGGCCGATTCGCTTCGGATTTAGCCAACCCCACATGAAAAATCGATTTCACAGTGGCAAGTTCGTCAAGCAACGCTTTGGGCGATTCTGGGGGGCCGCGGACAGAAACTTGGCTTTGCCTCAAAATATAATCATAGGGGTACCCCCCAAAGTGGTCGGTGTCCTTTTGGTTTCCAATTGAAAGCAAAAGAGGCCTCGCCCATTTGTCTCCTCGTGCGCGGCAATGCCTTCGCAACGTTCCAGCAGGTCGTTGATGGAACTCTTGGGAACCTGGGCCTCGGTCTCTTGGTCAAAGCCCCGCCAGGCCCCCGCCCCCCCCTCACCAACCCTCAAGGCGTTGGTTGCAAGTCTTGCGGGCCTCAGGCGAACCATTTGGCCATGGGCCAAAACCCCCAGTGAATATTTAATCCAACCACTAAAATAGGTTCTAAAATGGGTGGTGCACCTACCAACCAAAATGGTACCACTGGTTTTGACCCACAGCCATTTCGGGTAATTCCTAGTTTCAGGTGGACCTCCAAGCAGCCTGGTTTCCTTTTGGAAGGTGCCAACTCAAGGATCTCCAAGGATGACACACCCAGACTCACTTCCCGAGTGGATGGCCCAAAAAAAATCCAAACCTTTAATGTGCCACTAAAATGATTCTTCGGCCTTGTGCGGGGGATTCCAGGTGTTTGTGGACGGGAGTAGAGGAGGGCTTGAATCCTAGCCAGGAACCCACAGACCCTCTGACTCACTCCCCGGAGAAAGCATGACAGAACATGGTTTTAATGTTAAAGCAAAGTGCCTATTGAAGGGGGCTCGGAGGGAAACCGCCTTCTTTTTGTGTCCTTTCTTGCTTTGGAGGGGATCGGGGGGCCGGATTCCCTCAGACGCCATGATCAATCCCAAAGCAGGGGATTGTGCCGGTGAAAGTTCAGAACTGGCCGGCGAAATCTCCAACTTCGCAACTTGCTCCTTTACCTCAAGAGCCACAGGTTCAAATCCCAAACCACAAATTCAACCACCAATCCGGGGTAACCTGACAGGATAAAACAACAAGGGTAAAGTAGGGGTGAAAGCCTTGCAAAGGCATAACAATCATATTCTTTCAGGTTTGGTCTAGGGGCCAGTGGAAGTCTTCAATTTGCATGCAACAAACATATTTCAGACAACACTGATGCTGAATCATTCAATAGCGCCCATTTTGGGTTGGAGTGGGATCCGAAAGGACAGCAACTTTGGGGCATTCCCACTTTGGTACGCAAATCTTGGCCAACAGCGGCAGGTACAAGAACGTGGGCGTCTTTGGGGTTCCGCCCATACCCTTCCGATTTAGGACCAACCTAGGTCCCTGACTTAGGTCTATCTAGGTGAAACTCCAAAATGTGTTGTTCACTTTGCTCGCCTACCCGCCCCATTTTGTTTACTTTTTTTTTTAAAAAAAAAGAACAGAGTACCAACTCAAAAATGACACGCCCACATCTGACAATTTGCTAGTCTATTGATGGTTTCGGTGTTGACCTCATATTAAAAATCCCCTCCCTGTTAATCCGGTCCGGGTGACACCCCCCAATGCTAAACAATTCAGAACTCAGAAATTACCCTCCAAATAAAAAAATGGATCTAAAAAACAATGAAACCGGTCCCTCCCCCAGATGGCTGCTGCTATCTCATTTTGCCCACTGTTTCTTGAGCTCATTTCTTAGAAATTGCTGAAAATGTCATCCATATTGACAACTCACATGCTTGCAATTCATAGCATGTACTCTGCACATATGCTGCTTCCTAATCTCAAATGGAAACTTAATTCCAGATCTCAAAAGGAAGCTCCAGCAATATTAAATCAAATGGAAACTCAATTCCAGATCTCAAAAGGAAGCCCCAGCAATACTAAATCAAATGGAAGCTCAATTCCAGATCTGAAAAGGAAGCCCCAGCAATACTAAATCAAATGGAAACTCAATTCCAGATTATTTAGGGGGTCAAGGCAAAAAACCCTTCCAAAATCTTGCCCCCCCAATACCTTCTGACCTTCAAGGGGGGAGGGGTTACATACTAAGACAGGGTCAACATTAACCAGTAGCCACCCCACAAGAACCAGCAGAACCACTCATTCGAGTGCTTCAAAAACACCGAGAACAAAAACAGCCTCAGAGGGTCCCCAGCCCGCGTCCCACCCTCGGCCTTTGGCGGAACCCGTTGAGGGCTACGAGAGAAATGTTCCTTGCCGTCAGTAGGTTATGATCAAGGTAAGCGGGGCAAGGGATAGCTAGTGTGTAAACATAGTTATTACCTACCTAAACTCTCTCAAACATCACACTTTGTCATCGCAAACCCATGTTGGTTAGTGAATTCCCCCTTTTTTGTGTCGTTTGAGGGTCCAGGTACCTGACCTGTTCGTTGAATATCCAAGAGGAGGCGCAACTCGCAACTCGCAACTCGCAACTCGCTCGCAACCGGGGCCCCCTGCCGAGGATGTCACCTCCTGTCGAAAACGCAAAGCGACCCTACCATCTGGGGCCCAAAAGCGCAAAGAGCGCCAAACGTTTTCTCTTATTTGGTTGCTGGGGAAAAACAATGAGGTAGGTATAAACACCATCTTACCTATCACTATTTCCATTCATAGGCCCAATCTCCTGGGAAAAAATATGGTTTCTCTGGCCTTTGGCGAATGATAAAGGATCGCCCCAAAGAAATCGCCCGGGTCGTCTCCTTCTATCTGGGCGTCATTTCTCGGGAAGCCCCTTTTTTTTGAGATGAGTTTACGGGAAAACCAAAGGGACACCACCTATTTCCGACAAGGGGGGCATCAGACAACCCCAATTGAAAGCAAAGGGACAAGAACCCAACTTGATGCAAGGGGAGTGTACATGGCGGGTGTCTTAAAACAGGATATGGATCCTTTTGGTTTAATCACCAACTAAGGGGTACCATCCCCCAAACCCCCAACCCAAAAACCACCTAACCGGCAAGGAACAGCAGCAAGCAGCTGAAACGCAAGCAACAAAAGGAAGCAACAGCGTGCCCTGATTGTTGGTTGGTCTTGGTTTGGACGATAGAAAATGGTGTAAAGTGTTTACCAGGGGTTCAAATCCCACAAACCACCATTGCGGGTCATGTGGTTAAAATCAACTTCCCTCCCAAGAAACAACACGAACAGCTAGGTCCTCCAGCAGAGAGGTTAGAATAAGAGTACCAACTTTTTTCTGTAGTCAACTTTAGTAGGGGAACTCTCTCCCAAAAAAAAATCGGGAAAAGGCCACTGGGGGACCTAAACAATACAAACAACACACTCGAGGCCCACTCGAGGTCTGGGGAGCCAGCTCTGAGGCGCCCGGCACGCCCGTCACTTCGGGAAACCTCACCCTCGCCGCCCTGCGGCTTGGGCATGGAGGAAGTTGCGCACCAACCCTAAAAACCCAAAAATGATAGATGCCCCAACGTAAATGCCAACACAATGGTTGAAAAGCCATGGCATCAACGTGCTGCAACAAGAAGTTTCGCAAACCATCCAGAGTACGTGGCGGCAAGCCCCGCGTCAACTTTCGCCCCGAACCTGGGATTTGTAGCGGGCAAAAACCTAAGATGGTACCAAAAGCTGACATAGCTGTGGATGCCCGGAGTCTCCATGACCCATTAAAAATGGGTCCCTGACCCCTTTATTTAGGCAATGACCCCATTTTTAAAGGGTCATGGAGACTGCACATGAACGTAATCCGCGCCCATCGGGACCAGTTCGGTGGCTGCTCAACCAGGGCTTGACTCATTGCTGGAGGTCGCCCATCAGTACCATGAGGGGTGGTGGGGGGGTCCCATTCTTAAGTCTTCCCAAACGGCATGATGACGCAAATACATACTCACTCTCCAAGGGTCCTTTCAAAATTTGATTCAGGGGGGATGCTCTTTCACCTGCCAACAAACCATCCTGCATAGCGGAATCTCCTTTTGCGGTCCCGCTTTCTGTTTGTCCGCTTTTTCTGGCAAACTATTCATTCCACAGGTCCGGTTGACAATTCCGTCCACCTCTCTTTGGTAAGTTAACCAAACCTCCAGGGACAAACTGAAAATGGCCCTGGTCAAATCGGGTGAGTGTCTGAAAGTGACGTGGCGCTCGGACCCCTTGGCATTCCCAATGGGCTCCAAGCGGTTCCCCTTTGAACTCCCGTAGCTGCCCCTAAGTGGTGGTGTGGTGGCTTGGAAGACAGCAGGCAGCTTCCCATTGACCTTCAACAACTAGAGGTTCAAATCCCCAAGCCACCTATCCCCCACCAAAAAAATGCCAAGCCAAAGCCAAAAGACATGTCCCAAGAACTCAAAAGGCCCCAGCGCCGGGCAACATTCGCGCAAACCATTCAAATAATCATCTAGTTTGCTCAATTTGCCAACTCCAGTTGTTGTTTGTTTTGGCTTTGCTTCATACAAGTGTAAAACGATATATTTCCTCCTGTTTGATCATTTTCAGAAGGGCTATTTAGCACGTTGAATTCAACCCGCTGGAAATTCGAGATCCGCCCTGAGAATTTGAAACATCGCTCAGGGGGCGTTGACTAAGGTAGCAAGACTGTGGATGCACGAAATCTTGCTTCTCGCACCATGAAGCCATGGTTGAAACCATAAGCTCTGTTGCGGTACTTACGTTGGGGGAATCGAATCATTCCAGGGTTTCTTTTTGCAGGATTTGGTCCATCCACAGTATCCGACTGAGCCAAACTCTTAAAACACCGCTCAACCGAGTTGGTGCTTGTGTTTTCTTTTTCCAATTGAAGGGTTCGGGAGACCCTCGGGAAGGGGGAGTTGGACCCCGGCAGATCTCGGGAAGCCAAACATGGCTCCGTTTCCGAATACGTCACGTCCCCCGGCCAGAAGCAAGACAAAATTGAAAGGAGCGATATATTCCAACTCAAAACCAGCAGGGGAAACAAATGAATATAAACAACCAAACAAATACAATCATAGAACACACACACACAAAAAAAAAACAAAACATAAGCAAATGACGTGGGAATGCGGGTCCGACTGTTTGCCCCAAGCCCGGAGCAACCTTCGCCCAAGCTGACCCGCACCGTTGCCCTGGCCTTGATGGCCTTTGATGAGTTTGGCCATAGCAACGCCCGATTCGCCCAAGCTGACGTTTGGTTCTAGGATGGTTTATATGCATATATTATAATACCCTCTTCTATATTTTCATATATGGTTACCCCCCCCCTTCCCCCCAAATATGTATGTATATATATATATTTAGAGGCCTTTCCTTGTAATCCTTTAGTTAAACCAGGCCGTACCACCTACCAAAACGCGGCCAGTCGGATCCGATGTTGGGGCACTCAGGTCTTCCGAGACTCGGGATCGCCCCTTCTCGGGCTCGATTTTTTTTGGGGGTGCATCTATTTTGACGCATTTCGATGGCATAGAGCCGCTTGCAACTTGATGGGGGGTTCATCTATTTTGACGCATTTCGATGCCATAGAGCCATTTGCATATTTCTATAAGGCCACACATGGCCACCATTTTGATCCCAATGAATATACAGCCATTTGGCCCGGCAAGTGGACGTAGTGGGGTCAAGCTATGTGGAAAACACTCGCTCCGACTCTTAACCAATCCGAACCTGCACCCAAGGTACGGCCTAGGATTGCTGCGAACAGCGCATGCTCAAATGCCCGGTTCGGGATCCAGGAATAGAAAGGTGACCGTTCTTGGGCATGAAAATGGTCTAAATCAGGGAAACCAAAGGTGAAAAAGGTCGGTTTATGTCGGTTTCGAGCAATTGAGTATGTCAACCAATTCTCCATAACTAGCATGATTTAATTACTTACCGGGCGACATCCCATAACCACTCCAAATCGTTGATCGCCGACTAAAAATGAAAACCCAAAAAAAGGGAATCAAAAGGTCAACAGGCTGTTTTCTCACTTCCTGAGTGCATTTGCCAGAAAGAATCTCAACTTGTTGTTTACCACTAACATGGTCCAAGCCCAAAAAGTATAAAGTCCATGAACTGAGGAAGTTGGTTAAGAGCCATGGGAAAAATCCAGTAGTAGTAAATTCCTTTCAACACCAACAATGGGAAAATATATTCTTAAGCAAATGGAAGGACATGAGATTCCGGAGAGACCCAACATCGGTCCGAAGCGCGCGAAGAACTTCGCGCTTCGCGCCTGGATGTGCAGCAGCAACTCCGCAGCGCGGGCCCGGGTCTGCTCGCTGTGGGGTACACCTCCGACTCGGCTTGCTCGTATACATAATATATACCTGGAGTCTCCATGACACTTAAAAAATGGGGTCATTACCCAAAATAATGGGGTCAATGACCCATTTTTAAAGGGTCATGGAGACTCTAGGTACATATATATATATACAATACATATACATAGCAGCGGGGTGGCTTGTGGTTGGGGGTGTCATTCTTTGAGGCTCGGTATTCTTTTTAGCCCGGGCTTTCAGGGAAACCAAAAGGAAAACCACGACTGGTTGGAAGGCCGCTTTTCCTAGTTTCAGACGTACCCGCTTTGGATTTGAAGACTATCAACCAGCACCAAAACTTGTTCAAGGCCGATTTTCCTACGTAGCCACAAGATGACCATGATCCCATGATGTGGGAACCAAGGTCTTGCGGTAAGTTCTGTTCACCCGAGGGTTTTGAAGGGCCCTCAACAAGGAACCTTTCGCAAATCCGGCGTGAGGTCGGATTTGTTCCCAGAGAGAAACACATTTGGCGCTTTGCGGCGACTTAGTTGCAGAGACCCTCCAAACCCCACCCCTTAACAATAAACATATTAAGGATCCCCCTACCATAAGGGGGGAGGGCGTGGGTGTCCCGCCAATTCCATTTATCTACTCTTCCCGGGAAAATGGGTTACCCTACCTAGAGATCTCCACCATTCATAGTCGAAATCCCCCTTCCCCCCCTTCCATTTGCTTAAGCCCCCTGGAAAAAGTAAAAATAAAATCCGGTAGTGATAGATTCCCTTTAAAACCAAGAGAGAGAAAAATAACAAATCTTCTTAAGCCAATGGAAGCCCCCCAGTCAACCATTTTTATGGTGATCTTAAAAGGTCAACGTGCTTGGCTTCTCCAAGGTTTCCATCGGATCTCCCGACTCAGCTGTAAGGGACTGACGGGTTTCCTCCAGTTGCCTTTCGGCGAGGGAAACCTAGATCCAACATGGCCTATCACACTCTGGAGGATTACACGGGGAAATCGAAATAGTCGTTAAAATCACCAGGTCTTGTTTCTATAGTCTACAGGCCTTTCTATGACCTAGGAAACAAGTTTGAGATAGTAAAACCACCTCCTAGAATGGCCGATGGGGAGTTGGTTGGGCGCTGCTCATCTTGAAGTGGCTTGGAACGCGGTGATTCCCCAGCTGTGCTTCCAGGGTGTCATACTGTGGACGGATGAAATCCATGTTGCTCCACTTTGGAACCAGGGCAAACCGTTGTTTGTCGGTATTCACAGGGGAACCATCATTCCAAGGTTTCTTAGGTGGTGCGAAATGGATATCGTTCCTCGCACGTGGAGCGTCTGGCTTTGGATCTCGGGCATCGTGAACAAACATGCCCCGCTTGCGTGTGGGTTCGGTGTGGACTCAGTGTAGCAATATCCCTTACCGCCAGGCACCACTAAACATACCCGGTGGATCCATTTCATGTCCTCAACTCCTGCTTATTGATAGGGGGTTCCCTGGGTTTAGTGGGGAATCATTACTGTTTGGAGGGGAACACCCCCCGTATCAATATATGGTAGGTATCCAAGGAATTGCCATCCTACAAAAAGCAAAGCCAATAAATCTGATTACCTAAGGGCTTGCCTGGGATCCACTGAGAGAACTTAGGCCAATAGGTACCTAAACCCTGAACATATACATTTAAAATGGGTTATTACCCAACAATTATTAGGTGACATATATTTTTTGTATGGGAAAATTATCTTTAAGATGGGTTATGTCCCAACACTTATTGTGTAAAATCCTTTTTTATGGGCAGTTTGAGGTCTCTAGGGGAAGCTTCCCCATGCTTTCCAGGGATCCTGATCTTTTCAGGAAACCCTCAAAACCCATCAGAAACAGCCGGTGATTGAAAAGAACGATGGTCTAAAAGAATGGGGGATCAACCCCTAGAATCTCATTGTCTTCTGGTTGCTACTGCAACCTGCAAAAAGCTACTGACAAACACGTCTGGAGAGATGGTCTAAATGGAACCCCTTGTTGGACTTCATGGTCCTTGCAGCTATACAAACTGAAAGGGTTGTCGCAAATGGGTATGATTGCTTAACCAGGGACCCTTAGTGGACATCATTTAGGCGGGGATTCATCTCCACCAACCAGCAACCAAGTTGAGGTGGTTCCTATTCAAACTGATGGCCAGACTTCCTCTTCAAACTGATGGCCAGACATGACGAAAGCTACCAGCAAACGGTACACAAGTGTTCAAACTGAACAAAGCTTTCTGCCTTCAAAACCAACAGGAGCAGCAACAACCAGCGGCTGGGGCTTTCCGATTCCGGGACTGTAAAGACCGGACGAAGGGGGGCGTGCAACTGCCTCTCCCTGTTACGCCAAAGCAACCTCTCGATTTACATGGCTTCCCTTTGGGGAACCAGGCCTGAAGTCCGAAAGCCAACCCCAGCAGACCGAAAGGCTGGACATCAAGCGAACCCGAAGAAACTCTAACTTCCTAACCCTGAAGAGGCGGGCTGTCGGTGTAAGCTGACGCGGGGATTTTGGAAACATCCCCAGAGAAGGCCTCTATGAAAGGCTCAGGCTTCTCAGTGTTCCTGACTCGCTGTTTCAGAGACCACTTCATGTCAAGCAGGAGCTGGTAGTGCTGTGTGGGATCACCTGGCCAGTCGACCCCACAAGCCTGAGCGCTGCGGAGGACCTCATACTTTTGCTTGCTCAGCACAGGCTCCTGACTGTGCATGAAGTCTTGCAGCTCCTTGGCATGAGCTACAACCTTGTCATCACGGGTTGCCATAGCTGACAGCCGTTGGGACACAAGCCGCAAATGTAAGCTTGGAACCCCTTGGCCGACTTCTTTCACCAGCTGGCCACAACTTGCATTTGCTGAACTAAGCCGCCTGCACAACATGTTTCATTTCAGCAAATGGAAGGAAACCGGACCCAACCGCTCGCAACCGCTCCACCGGGCGGAAGACGACGCGGGACGCATCGAGCCTTTGTTGGAGATCAGGGCTGCCAGGTTTCCACTGATCTGGCCCAGCTTGGCTCCCGGCGGCCTGAGTCCAAGCCCGCTCGATGTTGCTCGCGGGAGCTGGAGCCAAAACTGGTGAGTTGTTGCTTCCCCTTGTTTCGTGTGTTTTTCAAGGGGAGCCAAAGGGAAACCACCATGTTGGGTCCAAACAAGCCTGCTGGTTTCTCCCTTTTCTCCTTTTTTGCCTAAGTTTTGTAGGCAAACAAAAACTAATCACTAGATAGGTTACAACGGCCCTTATGGCTCATCAGGGACTGAGTGCTGGCAACCGCTTTGCAAGCAACATCCCTCGGCCATTTTTCAACGCTGGGGTAGCGGTTCAACCCCGCGGTAGAAACTCGAGCAGTTGTTGGAATGCACCTGCATGAAATCTGGGAACCAGCTACCCCTCAACCTGTGCGCCAAAGCATGCGAATGTTGACCCCATATTCATCCACCCCAGTTTTCACAAACTACCGAACATTGCGCCCTGTTTGTCTGTGTGATAGGTCCTTTGGAACTCGGACAGACGACTAGGGGTTTCGCCATCCCGGAGTCCCCCCTCAACCAAGACTAACAGAGCACACCTATTCGGAGAACCCCTCGACATGTTAGTCCATTCGCGACAACCTCTTTGGCCAAGAGAACGACACCTCTCTCCTTCCCGAACAACGAACCGCTTCAATTCGTTTCCGTCGCTTCGTTTCGAACCGCGAAACGGAACGGGTCCCCGCTTGGCAGCGCAAAGCAAGCCCAGCACCAATGGTGCCAAGTCTACGTCCTCACGGCGTGCGGGGCCCCCGGGCCCCGTCCTCTTTGTTTGTGGGTGTTAAAATGAAAACCACTGGCAACCAAAAGGAGAACCAAAATCCGTTTTTAAAGTCCCCCCCGAAAAAATAATAATGAATAAATCAATATAGATAATAATGGCAAGCTCAAAACCCAGAGGCAAAGTTCCTGGTGCCTCACTTCCCCTTTGAACAGATTGACGACCAAAACAAAAACCAAACAACAGGGTACTCAATGCTTTCCGTTACTCGAGGGATTTCTTTACCTCTGGGTTTCAGCCAGGATAGTTTGCCAGGATAATTTCTATAGTGGGATCGCTTCCTTTAGTGAAATTACAGCCAAAAAAGGAACCATACTTTTCGTTTGCCACTTGGTGACCCAAGCAAATCAAGTCCAGCCGGGAGTGAGGTCTTGAGCAAAACGTGCTGTCAGGTTCCATGCTGTGTCCACATCCCTTGCGCCTGTTTTTGAGTGAATTGATTTGGGTGTTCTCTTTCGGAGACCCCTCCAAAATGGTGGTGGCTTTCCTCTCGGTTTCCCTTTAACGCCCCCCCAAGAAACGGGTAATTACACTCAAACAAGGCAGACCCATTCAGACCTCCGGGTCTGTCTAAAAATGCCCCCCCCCCCCCCAAAAAAAAGGCTTCAGGTGCCTAAAGGACCTAGAAATCAAAGAGACAACCTTTTTGGGGTGACTCAAATTGGGAGCCCAACAACCCTCGATTTATAGAGGAAGCTCCTTCGGGGGGAACCCCCCTTCTTTGGGTTCTATGTAAACTCGTAGGGGAGTAACCTTTTGAGACATGACTAAAAATGGGAACCCAAAAAGGACAAATCAAAGATCAGGTCGATTCGCTTTGGGAAAAAAATATGTGTGTCTCGCTTTTTGGATTCCTTGCCTTCTTGTTGCCTTTGTACTGTAGTTTCAGGCATTCTTTCACTTTCTGTTTGGGCCCCCCTGTATCTCTTGATATCGTCCTTGTAATTATCTTTGAAATGCCTTGCCATAGGTTTTCTTGCCTGAGGTTCAGCTCTTCGACGCGGTGTTCTTTGGGGCCCCTGCCCAGGATTGATTTCATTTGACAAAGAATACCCCTGCAATGATCCGTCAAAAATGGATCATTCCGGGGTCGACATGTGGGAGGCTGTGGGCGAACTCCTCGAAATCATCTGACTGGGGACACCAACTACCATAGGGTCCTTATTCTGCTTTCCTCCAACTAAGGCCTCTTCATGAATCCATTCAGGATGAATCAGGTACCCTCAAGTAATTGGTGCGGATTGGTGGTTTGGATTGGTAGTTTGACCCCAGCTCCTAAACCACATGGGAAATTGCACAGGACATAACCACCAATCCATCGCAGATAGTGGGCCCACAACAACGGGCATAGCATATGTTCCGACGATAGATTTTGTCCATATGTTTTGCTCATTGGCTTGCCATACGCTTGGAGACCCTGATGTATAACATATTGATTTAGTCTGCCCTGAAATATCAGCCTGGACCTTCAAACTCCGGGAAATTTATGGGTGTTTTAGGAGACCCCTACGATTTACCGAATTCCAGTGGTTTAGCTACAATTTGGGCAAAACACACATACGAGTTGCGTCGTTTCCAATCGCGCATTGGCCGCATACAAAGTAAATACACCTCGCAGCACTTGCCAACGTGCCAGTGGAACACCACGGGATGCCTTGATCATCAAAACTACGACTTTTTCTGATGTGCGGGAGTTTGCGGGTTTTGCGGGAGTTTTGCGGTCAAAATGGGTACGGTTTTTCTGCACCGCACAACTTTGGAATGCCGTTGCATGTTTTGACAAACTTGCAGGCTTCATTCAGTCGTTTGCCCCTGCAAACCTTCCTTTACTCTGTCAAAGACTGCGAGCATTACAATAGTGTGTTTCTAGGAGTTTTAGGAGTTTCAGGCTTTTGCGGCAAAAAGTGCTACGATTTCCCGAATATCCAGTCAAAGGCGGAAACTACGTTTTTTTTCAGGAGGACGAAGGTCCAGGAGCATACTTTTGGAGACCCCTGTAGTCCCTAGAAAAGAAACTGATACAAGGCAAAACCCCCGGCACCCCTTACGCAACCCAAGGATCTTGCGGATTGCCTTTGAGCAGCCTGGTAAGGTGAGGGGGTGTCCTTTTTGGAGGGTGCCCTCTTTGTGGGGTTCAACCAAAAGCAAAAGAACAACCACCAGATTAGCGTGGGGTGGGGGGGGCGTCCCTTAAAAAACGACAGACCCCTGACTCAGACGAACCCCGCGCAAATCCGCCCAAACCGCACGAAACCCATTTTTCGGGGATCCCGCGAAAATCCGCCAACACCGCACCAAAGGGCCGCCGGCTCCTCCAGCATCGCGGCGAGGCGCGCCAGAGAGGAGGCCCCCCCCAGCAGCGCCTTGCCGAACTGCGGGTCCTTGGCTGCCTGAAAGTCTGACGACTTCGCGGCTGTCATGCAGGAGGGGAGGGGGAGGGGGAGGAGGGGAGGGGGGCGGGGAGTGTTGGTTCCCCTGGACCCCAAACTTTTCATAAGCAGCCACCATATTGCCTCGTGCTCCTTTGCGCGTTGGTTCACCTTGACCCCCCGGAACATCGGAAACTTTTCATAAGCAGCCACCATATTGCCTCGTGCTCCTTTGCGCGTTGGTTCACCTTGACCCCCCGGAACATCGGAAACTTTTCATAAGCAGCCACCATACTGCCTCGTGCTCCTTTGCGCGTTGGTTCACCTTGACCCCCCGGAACATCGGAAACTTTTCATAAGCAGCAATCATATTGCCTCGTGCTCCTTTGCGCGTTGGTTCACCTTGACCCCCCGGAACATCGGAAACTTTTCATAAGCAGCCACCATATTGCCTCGTGCTCCTTTGCGCGTTGGTTCACCTTGACCCCCCGGAACATCGGAAACTTTTCATAAGCAGCAATCATATTGCCTCGTGCTCCTTTGCGCGTTGGTTCACCTTGACCCCCCGGAACATCGGAAACTTTTCATAGCAGCAACCATATTGCCTCGTGCTCCTTGGCGCGTTGGTTCACCTTGACCCCCCGGAACATCGGAACTCGCAGGGTCTCTCGCGGAAACGAGTTCGCGCCTCGGGCCGGTCCAAGGTGCCGTGGACCATCTTCAGGGCCTCCGAGCGGTGGGTGTCGTGGAAGTCTCCGCCCGCCACCATGCCGGCCAAGAGCACCTCGAGCTGGATGTCATTTTTTTAACCGGAAAGGTCGCCCCATTTATTTGCCCCAGAAAGGTCGCCCCAGGAAGGTCGCCAAATACCATGCGAGTGAGAAGGTCAAAGTCAAAGGTGAATGGCTATGTGTCAAACAAAAATGGTGACTCCTCAACATGGTGGCTTTCCTTTTGGCTTCCCTACAATTCAATATGAAAAGGGATGTATGTTTAATGCGCCCCTAACAAAATATTGGTTTCATTTATTGGTTTCCCTTTAAGCCTTAGCCCAAAAAGGGTATCCTGAAAACAACACACACCGACAGCAACAGACAGAGCACCAGCCGCGCGTCATCGCACCGGGCTTCCACACGGCACCCAGCAGTGAGCAGCTCGGGGTGGAAGATCGCAGCAGCGTCTGCCGCGGAGTCACCGAACGACCCCCCCGAAGAATTGTCCGAGGGGTTGCCGGGATTTGCCCTGCATTATGGGTCTGGCGCAAACATGGGGAACCCTTCTTTTGGACGGTTCTTTGCAGGTAACCAAAAGGAAACCAACCACCCGAACAACTCCGCAATTCGCAAGAAACGCCTACGTATTTCCGGTACTTCTCAAGCTGGAGTCTCCTTGCGAGCCTTAACACCACTATTTTTTAAATAGGGGTTGTTCAACCCCTATTTTTTGCATTGACAACCCCTATTTTTTGACATTGGCCTTTGGAGTTCATTTTGGGTTGTTACTTTTTTTTGCTTGAAAGCTACGCCTGCTACTGCAACCTCTTAAGTAGCCTTGGGAGCCACAGATTTCTCTGCCAGCAAAGTTAAATTACTACTTCTTGATAGGGTCCTCGGGTCCCTTTTGTGTCTGCGCAACGCACCTGAGCAAATTGTAGAATTGTCCTCTGCAATTTGCGTAGGTGGCACGAACAAGTAATTGTGTGCTGCTTTTTTCCGTTCCAATTTCCGCGCAGGTCCAACAACAACGCGAGCGTAGACAAATCGTAGAAAAACCGTAGAAACACCGTAGAACCACTATTTTTTGGCGTTAACCACTATTTTTTGGCGTAGAACCACTATTTGTTGGCCACCATTTTGTGGAGTAGAACAGGCAAATTTTGCCGACCAGAGGATCAACATCCTCATCCTGGAATGGTTGCTGTGATGGGAGGGGTGTTGACTGTCCCTGTTTTTTTTTGTTTGGTTAAGGGGGTGGGCCAGAAGAAGGACAGAAATGGTCAGAAGAGGATTCACCTTCGCGCGCTACATGGCCATGCCAAGAAACCAAGCGACATAGAGACCAACATTAGCCTTGTAAATAGTGAAACATATTGCTGCATATGTATATATATATATATACATATTCGGCTTCGGGATTCTATGGAGCGGCCTTAGCGTCAAGTCTTTCCTAGCCCTTGTTCCAGTCCAAAATGGAGGCGGCCGCTCGTCGTCAAAAAATAGTCTTTGTCAAAAAACCGGGGTTGTCACAACGCCTATTTTTTGAATAGTCTTTGGAAGCATAGGGACAAGTGGATGGTCAGAAGAATGCGTGACCCCATGGTTCGGGTAATAGAGACTCCTGGTAGCAACAAGTTTCCACATGCGGCATGGGCTTGTCCTCGACGCAACAAATCGGAATGGGAATGCGTATGAATGCGTCCAAGGCGACCCCTCGGTGTTTCATTTGCACGCAGCGCGAGAGGCCGCCTTTTAGTCAAATCCTTCTGACCAAATCACCTTTCGATGAACCCCCGAAACTCAGGAACTATACCCAGCTCAGTTGCCCTGGATAGGACCCCGAAATAGATGGTGCTCACCTTGTTCACCTTTACTCAATGTGGGAACCCATGAAGAACCAAATCTGGTCATCTCTCGCTTCGCTTTGCTTGATTCTGTGAGCCAGTGCTTGTGCGGCAGAAACAAAAAAATCCCCAGCAAAAGATTGCCGATCTGAGTCTCCAGGCCTCAATCACTCCGCCAAAACTCATGTGAGCCACTGTGGATGTACGAAATCCATTTCGCACCAGATTGAAACCACAGGAAATCAAGGGGAACCATTCCGGGGTGGTGCAGGATTTCGTCCCTCCACAGTATCTCCAACATTCAAAGGTGCAAAAATGGAAGATGGAGGCTTCGTGTTAAAGGGTCGCCTTCAATTTAGTTGCATGTGACTTTTTTTGTCGCAGGCATCATTGCTATTGGTCGCCTTCGATTTACCTGGTTCTAGCCCCTATTCCACCTGAATAGATGTCCTTGATCCGAGTATTTTGGGGATCCCTCATGTTCCGAAGAGACATCGGAGATTTGATGAACCTCCCAATGTGGATTCTCTGATGGATCGTGCATTACCTGAATCTGGTCTCAAATTACCGTCATTCGAACACCTAAACCAAGTTGACTCCCCAAAGGGACCCATACGCTCGGCCCGAGCTTGTTCATGTTCACCACTGAATCATAACCCCCCCCCCAGTTTTTTCATCAGGCGGCCAGGTCCCCAGGAAGAAAGGAATCCACTCCAGGCTAGAAGGGGACCCATTCCCCAATAACAAGTGGGGTCTGTGAACCAGGGGTCAACATTTAGCTGGGTGGCCCCAATTCTGGTTGGTGACTTCCTTTCTTTGGCAACCACCTGGACCCTCGAGATTCCTACGCAATTCTGGAGGGCGAGCTCTCCTTTTTCTCACTTCCTGAGTGGCTGGCCCAAAGAAAGCCTGAACTTTCCATGTGCCACCATGGTCCAAATCCAAAAAGTGACTAAAGTTCAGCTTCCTTCTTCCTGGACCCTCAAGGTCCCCCCCAAAAACTCGGTGATTGCAACCCAAAGAGCCAAGTCCCCGTGGGCCAGTTCTGGCCCAAAGAAAGTCTGTCTGTTTGTCAATATTGCAGACCCCACAAGTACAAGGTCCGGCAACTTGGGGACTAGGTCCTCCAGTAGAGAGGTTAGAATGAGGCTACCAACTTTTGTCTGCCCTAAGAATCTTTGGGGTGTGCATTGGACATCCTGGGGCTTGCATTGGAGATCCTGGGGCCAAATACTGTGCCTGGGAGAGACCGGGGGTGTGGGGGACACAGTGCTGACGCCCCGACACCCCGACACCCCGAATATTCAACTCCATAAATAAGTGGTTCGATGATGTTCGATGCATCTGGTGCATACTCTATTCGAGGAATCAGGTTGCAACCAATGGGATCAAAACAGGATTCACTTATTTCGAAGGCTCATCCCACATCCCACCGATCGGCCATGGATGGCGGCAAAGCATGGGCTTTTCACGCATTTCTCGGCATGATCATCTGCTAGCAGCAGATGCCTCGCGGCCGGTGCTTACGAGGACATTGTGGAGGGGGGGGCGTGTGGTCGGGTTGGCAACTGCCACACAGAGTTGGCGCAGCTTGCAGGGCTCGAGCATGCAAAAAACGTTGCTTCACAACAATGGGAGTGGTTGATGGGCAGCGTGAGGAGATCAAGCGCCCCTTGTCTATACCACACACGAACCACGTTTACACATGTGGCATGCAGTGAGTAAGGCGCACTCAAAGTGCATCTGCCGGCAAGTTCTTTCACCTCTTGCTCTGGGGCCGGAAAAGGCAACAAGACACTGTTTCCAGACATCAGCATCAACAGAATCGGGTACAATGCGTTAGAGACCTATTTGCCCTTGATCTTGGCGCTGTATGATTTGTCACCAGTGGGTACCTCGGATGCATGTTGAAGTCATTCTTCGCACATGGCTGGTTGTGTCCACTGCTTTGGACTAAGGGGAGTTTTCAATTTTAGAGCTACAGCTGGTGTTTGCAGACCTTGATCGTGAAGGTAGTTGGAGTCTCAGTGGCTCACGCTATCAAAAAGATAGAAAAAATTGGTCAAGGGACGAGTCATGGCTGCACTATAGCCTCTGCTTCCTTGCATGCAAGGTGTTTGATTGTGCTTAAATTTTTGATGCCATGAGAGCAGGAAGCGTATGTACTTGCTGGGCTTCTATCATACGCGCGCAAATACTGGCGCAAAGCGATTGAGAGAGGCAGCTCACACCCAGCACCTTGTCACATCCACATGCCCTCCATTCGGGTTGATATCAGCTTGCTCTTGATTCATACAACCCCATAGTTAAGGTGGCCGCCCAGTTGATGGCCGTGATGAAACCAAATCCCCGGCGTTCCCGGCCTTCAAGGCCCGGTAAAAAGGCTCCTGAGGACAGCATGGACGCAATCGCCATTTCAGATGGCGAAGAGGATGATGAGCCCGCATGCGAAATTGGCTCTAGCTCGTGTGTGGCCTCCCGCCCAGTGCCTTCATCGTCCGCTCGCCCTACCATGCTCGAAGGCCCGCCCTTTTCTTTTTTTCGGATAAGGCAAGCCCTTCCTGGGGGGTTGATGAGGGGTTGATCGGATCAGTATATGTTTGATCGCAAGACCCCATCCCTGCGCCGCAGGTGGGTCCTCGGCCGCCAGCGCGTCCGACGCCACGCCTGCAACAGGCGCGTTCTTTTCCGACCTGTTTCTGAATGGGTGTGATGAGTGGACGCAGGACATATCCCCCGCCCTTCCAAAGCGACCCTACAGGGTGGTTTGCTTAGCTATGCGTGCAATGGAAGTCAGTCAGTGACAGCAATGGTCATTTCAACAGCTGTTTTCATGATTTCAGTGAAAGCACCACGAAAAAAGCAGCACCCTTTGCTGAAATGACCTTTGCGGTCGCGGACCTTTGTTGGCCACGCTTTGATGGCGACTGCTTGCCTGCTTGCCTGGGCCGAGTCAATCCTACATGCGCTTCAACGACGGTGGTTCCAACGGCGTGTGACCCTGCGATAAGGCGTGGGCGCAGCACTTTGAACTTGGATGAGCCTCAGCTCAACCAACAATCTGTTCCAAGCCCAGATTGCCAAAGCCATGTATAATGCGATGGTCTCCCCCGCCGCCCAGGCCTTCGATGATCGGTTGGTGCTGGACCCATCGCAAGCAAATGTGAACTTCCCTACGGAGGACTCCTGGCCTTGCTTATCACGCCACCTATCGAGTTTGTGTGCGCCCCTTTCTGCAGGAAGCGATGACTGGCACTCCCGAAGTCAACATCCCAGCGCCTTCACTTGAGTCAAACAGTTTTTGAAATTTAAGCGCTAGTTGCACCCGGCAAGGAACCGATTTGCGTATCTGATGATGAATGCAATCTTGCAGATCAGGAGGACGCCCTGCCAACCATGGAACATGCACACCCCACACTCCGGCCTTGCGGAGGTGCTGGGCATGATGCGCAACGAGGCCCAAGAGGACGAGGACCCTGGCCACGGGGTTCGTCAAAATGCTTCTAACAAAGGTGCAAGCAACCTCTCCTGGTCTGCGTTTGTTTTTGTGTCGCGGTTTCTGTGTGTCGGTTTCTGTGTGTCCGCGGCGTGTGTGTGTGTGTGTGTGGGTTGCGTATGAA